GACAACGGAGGCAGAGAAGGAGGGAAAACAGCTGGGGAGGGGTCAGGAGGAGGAAGTGGAGGACCAGAGACGGGAGGAGAGGGGGAGGAGGAAGGAGAGGGAGAGGGGAGACCGAGGGTTCGAAGACCAGAGACAGGAGGAGGAGGTGGCGGCTGCTGCTGCTGCTGCTGCGGCTGCGACCGCTGCTCCTCCAGCTGCGGCGGCTGTTGCTGCTCCTGCTGCTGCGGCTGCTGCTGCGGCTGCTCCTGCTCCGTCTGCTGCTGCTGCTGCTGCTGCTGCTCCGGCTGCTGCTGCTGCTGCTCCACCAGCCGCTGTAGCTCCAGCTGCTGCCGCTCCAACTCTCTCTCCTCTCGCTCCAACTCCAGCTGCTCCTCACGGGCACGGCGAACACGGGCGTGGTGCCGGGTCGGGTAGGGGTGGGGGGGAGGAGTAGCGTCCGGAGCGGTGGTAGCCCCAGGACCGCTCTCCAAAGAACCAGTCGCACCACCCCCAGAGCCAGCACCACCAGCAGCAACACGGCCAGTCCCAGACTCTCCAAGTCCCGTAGGGGGCGCACCCGCACCCCAAGTCGTAACACCCCCAGGGACAGCGCGACTAACACCAGCTCCCTGAAGACTAGAACCTCCTGCAGACTCGGGCTCAGCTCCAACGCCAGCACCCCCGGCACCAAAACCTCGTGGAGGCACACTCTCAGCTCCAACTCCAACCCCTCAAGAGGTAGCACCCCCAGGGTCCTCGACACGAGCACCGGGTCCAGCAGGGTCTGCAGTAGGCTGTGAGGAGGACTGTGGGGAAGGGGACGGCACCTAAGGTGCTACCGAGGGGGGAGGGGTAGCGTGTGACACACCTGACGGGGCTGGGGGGGGGGGGGCTGTACCGGAGGGGCACGAGGGGGGGCGGGATTCAGGAAGAGAGGGGGAGGAGGAACCGAAAGACCTCGACAGGAGTACCGGGTGTAGTAGGGGACTGACTCGACAAAACGAACGTCGCGAGGATTCAAAAAACCGGTGAAGGGGAGGGTGGTAAAAGGTGAAGTCAGAGGAGTCCACGGGGAAACCAAGGAAGACATAGGGAAGGGCGCGAGGGGAGAGCTTATCCGCGGAGGTGTCGCAAACAAGCGCCAAGCAGCCCCAGACACGAAAACGCGACGCAGCACCAGGGGACCCGGTCCAAAGACTGGTCGGTGAAGCCTCTGCCCGAGAGACACGTGGCCATAGGTTCAGCTGGTGAGCGGCGTACCGAACCGCGTAGGGCCACAGAAAATGGGGCGCACGTGCAATCTCCATGACCAAGCGGTGCTCAGCAACCCCATTCTGCTGTGGGGACTCTGGAAGCGTCCAGGACTGATGGATGCCCTGCTCGCGACAGAATCCAACGAGAATGCCGGAGCGAAACTCACCCCCACGGTCGGAGTGAAGACAGCTGACACGACGACCACGAGTGTCCGCAGTGGTAAGTAACCACTGGATCAGCGTAGAAGTCACCTCAGACTTCTTCGCCAGGGGGAACACTGTGGTGTAGCGAGAGTAGTCGTCAACGACCACCAGAAAGAAACTCTCTCGCTCAGGGCCAGGGCGAGGGGCGGGGCCCCAGACGTTCAAGTGGAGAGTCTCAAAGGGCTCGCTGGCCGGACGAAGGGAGGAGGAGTGAGGGGTGGCGCGCAGCCGACCCTCGACGCAGGGATCGCAGGGTGGTGCAAGCGAAGGCGGCAGCGACGGCAAGACTCGCGGGAGGCCTAAGAAAAGACGCTGACTAGACATAGCGCGCTGGCGAGGAATGGACGGGTGCCCCATCCGGTGGTGCCACAGAACGGTGGGGTGGGCAAGTGACCGGCAGGAGCAAGACGCAGCAACTGGACCAGACACGGGAACCTGACCAGACACAGCTACCTGGTGAGAAGCGGCAACCCGATGAGACGGGGGGGCCTGACGGGGGGCAGTGACTGTGGTGGGGGGCAGTAGCTGCTGCTGTTGCTGCGGCTGCTGTTGCTGCTGCTGCTACTGCTGCTGCTGCTGCTGCTGCTGCTGCCGAGGGTCAGTGTGAAGTGTGTAGAGACCAGAGCCCGGCTCAGCGGTAAAGGTGGCCAGAGGTCAACGGTGAGAGTGGTGGGACAAACCGAGAGGAAGTGGTCCCTGACTACGCGAAGGGAGTCAGGGAGACGGGTGACGATGTAGTAGAGGGTGATGTACATGGGGGGGGGGTTCTTGGCGCAGAACTCAGCAGGAAGTGCAGCGCGGTAGCGAGTGTCACTAGTGCGGAGGTGCGTGATGAGGTCAGCGACTGTGGGAAAGGCAGCAAGGTCAGGGAAGAGGTACGGTAGCATGAGGCGGCTCAGTGCAGCAGTGGCAGGGGAGGAGTAGCGTGCAACTACAGCGTCGTACAAGGTCTGAGCACTCTTGTACTGGCTAAAGTGCGCACGCTCAGAGGTAGGCAGGTGGCGACGCACAGCAAGACGTGCAGCAGCATCGCGCGTGGCCCACTGGGAGCGAACAGTTGCGTCAGCATCAGTGGCGGGAGCAGGAGAGGCACCAGAAGTGAGGTCAAAGAGGGAGAGGCCGTCTGCCCTATCGCACTGTAAGAAAAGCTGCAGGTCATCTATCCAGACGTCAAAGTCAATGGCCTGACCCTCAGCGTCAAAAGCGAGGACACTAGGGGTAGCCATGACAGTAGTAGACTAGCAGCGCAAACAGTGGGGTGAGGGCAGTGCTGTGAGAGAGGCGCTGCTCTTACCGGACAGGGCGGCTCGGGCGGCTCGGCTGCAGGGCGGCTCGGCGACTCGGCTGCTGGGCGGCTCGGCTGCTGGGCGGCTCGGCGGCTTGGCTGCTGGGCGGCTCGGCGGCTCTGCTGCTGGGCGGCTCGGCTGCTGGGCGGCTCGGCGGCTCGGCTGCTGGGCGGCTCGGTGGCTCAGCTGCTGGGCGGCTAGGCTTGCTGGGCGGCTCGGCGGGGCCGCTGAGAGGGCGGCGTCCGGGGCCGCTGGGAGGAGGCGGCGGGGCCGCTGAGAGGAGGCGGCGGGGCCGCTGAGAGGAGGCGGCGGGGCCAGAAAGGTAGGTGGCGGGGCCGCGTCAGGGGCCGCGACAGGGGCCGCATCAGGGGCCGCGTCAGGGGCCGCGGCAGGGGCCGCGTCAGGGGCCGCGGCAGGGCCGCGTCAGGGCGGCGCGTCAGGGGCCGCGTCAGGGCGCCGCCAGGGGCCGCGGCAGGACCGCGTCAGGGCCGCGTAAGGGGCCGCGGCAGGGGCCGCGTCAGGGGCCGCGTCAGGGCCGCGTCAGGGCCGCGGCAGAGCCGCTTCAGGGCCGCGTCAGGGGCCGCGGCAGGGCCGCGTCAGGGCCGCGGCAGGGGCCGCGTCAGGGCGCCGCGTCAGGGGCCGCGTCAGGGCGCCGCCAGGGGCCGCGGCAGGGCCGCGTCAGGGCCGCGTCAGGGCCGCGTCAGGGGCCGCTTCAGGGCCGCGGCAGGGGCCGCGGCAGGCCGCGTCAGGGCCGCGTCAGGGGGCGCGGCAGGGCCGCGTCAGGGCCGCGGCAGGGGCTGCGTCAGGGCGCCGCCAGGGGCCGCGTCAGGCCGCGTCAGGGCCGCGTCAGGCGCCGCCAGGGGCCGCGTCAGGGCGCCACCAGGGGGCGCGTCAGGGGCCGCGATAGGGCGCCGGCAGGGGCCTCGTCAGGGCGCCGCCAGGGGCCGCATAGGGGGCGCGTGGGAGGCGGCTTAGGGGCCGCGTAGAGGCAGCGTAGGGGCCGCTAAAAAAAAAATTTAGGGCAGGGCGCAATGTGCGCGGGCAGCTAAAAAAAAAATTCTTATGGTGGGCCCTTAGGAAGGAACGGTCCCATGTAGGAACCCGCTCTATACCATGTGAATCAAGAAAAACAGGAATGAGAATGACTAAGTGAAAGTTGGGTACAAGAAGCAAACCCTAGAAAACTGTACCCCATATGTGCTACCCCACTCTAGCCTACAGTAGCTATGTCATATAAATCTGACAGCGTGCGACGGGACGGGACGGGAAGCGCGGCGCGGACGGGACGGGACGGGACGGGACAGACGGCGCGACGCGGCGGGACAGCGCGACGCGACGGGACAGCAGGGACAGGCGCGACGCGACGGGACAGCAGGGGGCGACGCGACGGGACAGCAGGGGCGACGGGACGGGACGGGACAGCAGGGGCGACGCGACGGCAGGCGCAGCGGGCGCTAGGGCACGAGAGAGACGAGCGTGATAGGTGCTAGGGGACAGTACGGGCGTAACGGGCACTAGGGTACGGGACAGGCTCGGGCGCTACGGACGTGAACGACAGGAACGGGATCTCACAGGATCCTAACCTAGGTGATACCATGTCAAGAACAGAAGAATGGCTTGACTATGGTTGGTTGGGGTACATAAACCTAACCCGAACTAATGTACCCCATATGACACACATCACTAAGACATGTGTGTGTGTGTGTGTGTGTGTGTGTGTGTGTGTGTGTGTGTGTGTGTGTGTGTTTTTGAGTATGTGATTTTTTTTCCTTTGTTAGTTGTTTTTTTTTTTTTTTTTTTTTTTTTGTTGTTTGTTTGTTTGTTTTTTTTTTTTTTCTCGTTTTTTTTCTTTTTTGCGAAGTTGATTTTTTTTTTGTCAAGCTGGACATCTAAACACAAGAGAAAAGTACTTACAAAGGGCGTGAATGTGTGACACAATCCTCAAAGGACTACTTAACTTCATAAGACACACGCTTACATTTTCCTTTCATTACATTCAAGGGCTACATTGGGGCTGGTGTCAATATCGAGTATGAGTCTCCGTCTGTAGCCTTGACTGCCGAGTCAAAGACGGCTGCTGTGGGCTGTCGAGCTCTCAGACCGTCGATCAGCCTCGAACGTCTCAGCTTCACTCGAATCATGGGCTCGAGCTCGCGCTGGGGATCCCCATCAGACACTCCACAAAAAATTGGGGGTCGAAACGTATTAGGAGTGCGCGCGCAATGCTTAGTGCGAACACTCATTTTAGTTTACTATGCTTTGCTCTGCAGAGCAGAAAATGCTCGGGATATTTCCAAGCATTCTGCTGAGCTGGCTGAGGAGACTGGGAACTGTGCATGGCGCTCGCGATCATAAGGTAGGATCGAAAGCCGCACGACACGCGGCGGACGCTTTGCCTTCCCACGGCGCGACAGAGGGTTACGAGGCGCCTGAATCCGAGAAAGGTGCGGCGGCGAGTGCGGTGAAATGGCGGCCGTGGATCGTCCGCTGCGCGGCGGCGGGGCTTGCTCTCCTTCTCGTGCTGTGCTTGATCGTCATCAACGAGGTGAGCGCATACTACGTGCTGTTCAGTGCAACCTCAAGAGTCTTGGCTGTAAATACTACTAGAGTGAGCTCTCTCTCGTGCTCGTGCTATGGAATCGCGTCTCAATCCGCGTGAGTGGTCGCCGTGCACCTGCGTGGACGGCCTTCTGCAGAAGGTTGACTCGAAGTCGGGTGGAGCCTCTACGCACTCGTCCCACCTGCTCGCCTCGTTCCACCTGCTCGCCTCGTCTTCGTCTGATCGTCTGGTGTGGATGATGGGTGCTCATCGGCCGTCCTTTGGTTTCCGCGTGTGTAAGCTATGTTCGCATCACCGAGAAATCGTGGGTTGGAATTTTTGCACCAAAGTTACTTTGGAAGTTGCTCTGGGGGAAGGTTTCGGAAAGTATGGTTCAGAATGGCGGTCAACTTTCGCATGCTTATAGACGCTATTGGCTTCGCATGAGCTTTTTCGTGTTAAAAAACATCTTATTCTCAATACGACGTGCCCAAGCATGCTCCTGAGTCAGAACGACGGGTGGGGTAGAAAGTGGACGACGATCGCTAGTAAGAAGTAGCAATGGGCGGATATTCTGGGATTGCGAAGCGGGAATGTACAACTAGAAATGATATGTGCAGTTTGGCTGGCTGGAAGGTAGCGTGAGGTTTATTAGAGGGACTCTTTCGACAGGTTGGACTTTGTAGATGGGATGGGTTTTAATGCGGTACTGATGGGAATCTCAAATTCGAACTCCGACAGGCGACTGAAAACTTTTGAAGACACATCCCCGATTACCCACTAGCGATATGATCATGTGATAAAACCAGCGATCCAGTAGTCGGAAATCCGACGGTAGAAGTGGTCGGGACGGATTTCCGAGCATTGCGCAGACCACCAACCGGAAACCGCCTGGTTTCCCAGCGTGTGGAACGCCAAATTGCATTTCGACTTCGGCGAAATGCTCAAAAGGAGAATCCGCATCTTTTCCTATGCACTCTTTTTTTTTCGGGCAGCCCCTAAAACATTCTGACTGCGGATAGCGTATTAGCTAGTAGCGTATGGCGTTTTACGAATACACGCTAGCGTATATACGCTATACGCATCAACCCTAAAGCGTATGGCAAGTTAGGTGTAAATCTGCTTGCGTGTAAATCCGCTTTCGTTCAAATTTGTTTGCACCGCGTAAAGTTGCTTCCATGTCGCGTCAGCGTAGCATGCCGAAGCATGCCAATTCTAGGTTGTGTTCTGCTTTGCCCTCGCACTGCCACGCTGCTGCTTGCCTACACAACGGCTTTCAATTCCGTTCCAATCTCTTCTCTGTTTTTTTTGTTACTCCATGTCTCAACTCTTCCTCACATCCACCTCTCCTCGCCATCCTTGGTCCGGTTCCGAGCCTCAGGCTTGGCTGGACAGCCTGCAGCTTTGGAATTTCTTCCCACTGGAGGGGCTGCCAGCAGTGGCGTGGGAGGAGGCCCCCCCACGGCCGGGGTGCATTGTGACTCTCGACTCGCGCTACAGCCCTGAGGGCGTGGCGGCCGTGGAAGCGGCTGTAGCGCGGCTGCTGAGGGAGCTGGGGGTGGAGGCGGAGGAGGTGGGCGGAGGGGGGGGAGGGAGAGAAGAGGGAGGGGGAGAAAGGATTGGTGGAGAGGGAATAAGGGGAGAGGGATTAGGCGGAGAAAGAGTAGGGGGAGAGGAAGTAGAAAGAGAGGGTATTGGGGCTGGGGTGGGCGATGGGGGACAGGAAGGGCGGCGTGGGGGGATCGGGGGACGGGATGAGGGGGAGGTGGATGGGGGAGAGGTGGGGAGGGGGGTGAGGGATGGAAAGGGGAGACTTTTGAAGGAAGGAGGGGGAGAGGGGGAGGGAAGGTGGCATGGAGGGTGGAGGGGGAGGCGGCTGCAGGGAGGAGACGAGGAGCGCAAGGGGGAGGGGGAGGGGGAGGGGGAGGGGGAGGGGGGGCTGAACGGGGATTCAAAGGCGGAGTTGGGGAATGGGGAGGGCGAGGGTGAGGGGAAGGCTGAGGGGACGGATGAGGGGAAAGGGGAGGGGAAGGATGAGGGGAAGGAAGAGGTGAAGGATGAGAACTCGAAGGTGAAGGAAGACGGGGGAGGGAGGGGCAGGGAGGCGATGCCGGAGGCGTGGCGGCGGTTCTACTCGGGGCTGCCCAAGGTGGTGGATGCGGAGGGGCACGAGAACATGTGGAAATTCCCCATCTGGGTCGCCCTGGCCGTCAACATGTGCGTGTGTGCTGCAGCGTCATGTGCCTGTGTGCAATGGTGTCGACATGTGTCTATGTGACAGTGCATTCATGTGTGTATGTGCTGCAGTAGGCATGAGTGTATGTGCTGCAGTAGGCATGAGTGTATGTGCTGCAGTAGGCATGAGTGTATGTGCTGCAGTAGGCATGAGTGTATGTGCTGCAGTAGGCATGAGTGTATGTGCTGCAGTAGGCATGAGTGTATGTGCTGCAGTAGGCATGAGTGTATGTGCTGCAGTAGGCATGAGTGTATGTGCTGCAGTAGGCATGAGTGTATGTGCTGCAGTAGGCATGAGTGTATGTGCTGCAGTAGGCATGAGTGTATGTGCTGCAGTAGGCATGAGTGTATGTGCTGCAGTAGGCATGAGTGTATGTGCTGCAGTAGGCATGAGTGTATGTGCTGCAGTAGGCATGAGTGTATGTGCTGCAGTAGGCATGAGTGTATGTGCTGCAGTAGGCATGAGTGTATGTGCTGCAGTAGGCATGAGTGTATGTGCTGCAGTAGGCATGAGTGTATGTGCTGCAGTAGGCATGAGTGTATGTGCTGCAGTAGGCATGAGTGTATGTGCTGCAGTAGGCATGAGTGTATGTGCTGCAGTAGGCATGAGTGTATGTGCTGCAGTAGGCATGAGTGTATGTGCTGCAGTAGGCATGAGTGTATGTGCTGCAGTAGGCATGAGTGTATGTGCTGCAGTAGGCATGAGTGTATGTGCTGCAGTAGGCATGAGTGTATGTGCTGCAGTAGGCATGAGTGTATGTGCTGCAGTAGGCATGAGTGTATGTGCTGCAGTAGGCATGAGTGTATGTGCTGCAGTAGGCATGAGTGTATGTGCTGCAGTAGGCATGAGTGTATGTGCTGCAGTAGGCATGAGTGTATGTGCTGCAGTAGGCATGAGTGTATGTGCTGCAGTAGGCATGAGTGTATGTGCTGCAGTAGGCATGAGTGTATGTGCTGCAGTAGGCATGAGTGTATGTGCTGCAGTAGGCATGAGTGTATGTGCTGCAGTAGGCATGAGTGTATGTGCTGCAGTAGGCATGAGTGTATGTGCTGCAGTAGGCATGAGTGTATGTGCTGCAGTAGGCATGAGTGTATGTGCTGCAGTAGGCATGAGTGTATGTGCTGCAGTAGGCATGAGTGTATGTGCTGCAGTAGGCATGAGTGTATGTGCTGCAGTAGGCATGAGTGTATGTGCTGCAGTAGGCATGAGTGTATGTGCTGCAGTAGGCATGAGTGTATGTGCTGCAGTAGGCATGAGTGTATGTGCTGCAGTAGGCATGAGTGTATGTGCTGCAGTAGGCATGAGTGTATGTGCTGCAGTAGGCATGAGTGTATGTGCTGCAGTAGGCATGAGTGTATGTGCTGCAGTAGGCATGAGTGTATGTGCTGCAGTAGGCATGAGTGTATGTGCTGCAGTAGGCATGAGTGTATGTGCTGCAGTAGGCATGAGTGTATGTGCTGCAGTAGGCATGAGTGTATGTGCTGCAGTAGGCATGAGTGTATGTGCTGCAGTAGGCATGAGTGTATGTGCTGCAGTAGGCATGAGTGTATGTGCTGCAGTAGGCATGAGTGTATGTGCTGCAGTAGGCATGAGTGTATGTGCTGCAGTAGGCATGAGTGTATGTGCTGCAGTAGGCATGAGTGTATGTGCTGCAGTAGGCATGAGTGTATGTGCTGCAGTAGGCATGAGTGTATGTGCTGCAGTAGGCATGAGTGTATGTGCTGCAGTAGGCATGAGTGTATGTGCTGCAGTAGGCATGAGTGTATGTGCTGCAGTAGGCATGAGTGTATGTGCTGCAGTAGGCATGAGTGTATGTGCTGCAGTAGGCATGAGTGTATGTGCTGCAGTAGGCATGAGTGTATGTGCTGCAGTAGGCATGAGTGTATGTGCTGCAGTAGGCATGAGTGTATGTGCTGCAGTAGGCATGAGTGTATGTGCTGCAGTAGGCATGAGTGTATGTGCTGCAGTAGGCATGAGTGTATGTGCTGCAGTAGGCATGAGTGTATGTGCTGCAGTAGGCATGAGTGTATGTGCTGGGCATGAGTGTATGTGCTGCAGTAGGCATGAGTGTATGTGCTGCAGTAGGCATGAGTGTATGTGCTGCAGTAGGCATGCGCGTATTTGCTGCAGTAGGCATGAGCGGAACAAAAACACGAACGTGGTTGGGTCGAACTAGGGATGAGCAAAGAAACGAACACCTGTTCGGTTCGCCTCGAACGTGTTCGAGGCGAACCGAACAGGCTTTGTTTTTCAGCTTAAATTGTTCGCCCGAACGTGTTCGAGGTTCGCCCGAACACGCCTCCACAGGCGAACGGCGAACACCTGTTTTTGCCTAAACTGTTCGCCAAACCGAACAGTGTTCGGTTCGGCTAAAGGGCGTGTTCGAGAAGGGGCGAACACGAACATGTTCGTGTTCGCGCTTTGCTCATCCCTAGGTCGAACACATACCGCACACCTCTTAGGAACCAGCGGAAGATGCCCATATGTGCGTGTGTACATGTGCGTGTGAACATGTGCGCGTGTACATGTGTGTGTGTACATGTGCGTGTGTACATGTGCGTGTGAGCATGTGCGTGTGAATATGTGCGTATGTGCTGCTGTGTCAGCATGTGCATATGTGCTGCCGTGTCAGTCAGCATGTGCGTATGTGCTGCTGTGTCAGCATGTGCACATGAAAGGCACAGCATTGGCTGGTTGGCTGGTGGTGGAGTACGGTTCAACGTGGTCAACACAAGTCAACATGGTCAACCCAAGTCAACGTGGTCAACCCAAGTCAACGTGGTCAACCCAAGTCAACGCGGTCAACCCAAGTCAACGTGGTCAACGCAAGTCAACCCAATCTCCCCCCTTCAACCCTATCCGTCTCCTCTTCAGGTTGTACGCGCGGCGCCACGGGTACCGAATGGTGGTGGAGAACGGATCCACGTACACTCCGGACCGACACCCCTCGTGGTTCAAGGTGAGGGGGTTACCACCCATCATGGTTCAAGGTGAGGGGCTTACCACCCATCATGGTTCAAGGTGAGGGGCTTACCACCCATCATGGTTCAAGGTGAGGGGCTTACCACCCATCATGGTTCAAGGTGAGGGGCTTACCACCCATCATGGTTCAAGGTGAGGGGCTTACAACCCATCATGGTTCAAGGTGAGGGGCTTACCACCCATCATGGTTCAAGGTGAGGGGCTTACCACCCATCATGGTTCAAGGTGAGGGGCTTACCACCCATCATGGTTCAAGGTGAGGGGGTTACCACCCATCATGGTTCAAGGTGAGGGGGTTACCACCCATCATGGTTCAAGGTGAGGGGCTTACCACCCATCGTGGTTCAAGGTGAGGGGCTTACCACCCATCATGGTTCAAGGTGAGGGGCTTACCACCCATCATGGTTCAAGGTGAGGGGGTTACCACCCATCATGGTTCAAGGTGAGGGGGTTACCACCCATCATGGTTCAAGGTGAGGGGCTTACCACCCATCATGGTTCAAGGTGAGGGGCTTACCACCCATCATGGTTCAAGGTGAGGGGCTTACCACCCATCATGGTTCAAGGTGAGGGGCTTACAACCCATCATGGTTCAAGGTGAGGGGCTTACCACCCATCATGGTTCAAGGTGAGGGGCTTACCACCCATCATGGTTCAAGGTGAGGGGCTTACCACCCATCATGGTTCAAGGTGAGGGGGTTACCACCCATCATGGTTCAAGGTGAGGGGGTTACCACCCATCATGGTTCAAGGTGAGGGGCTTACCACCCATCGTGGTTCAAGGTGAGGGGCTTACCACCCATCATGGTTCAAGGTGAGGGGCTTACCACCCATCATGGTTCAAGGTGAGGGGGTTACCACCCATCATGGTTCAAGGTGAGGGGGTTACCACCCATCATGGTTCAAGGTGAGGGGCTTACCACCCATCATGGTTCAAGGTGAGGGGCTTACCACCCATCATGGTTCAAGGTGAGGGGCTTACCACCCATCGTGGTTCAAGGTGAGGGGCTTACCACCCATCGTGGTTCAAGGTGAGGGGCTTACCACCCATCGTGGTTCAAGGTGAGGGGCTTACCACCCATCGTGGTTCAAGGTGAGGGGCTTACCACCCATCGTGGTTCAAGGTGAGGGGCTTACCACCCATCGTGGTTCAAGGTGAGGGGCTTACCACCAATCATGGTTCAAGGTGAGGGGCTTACCACCCATCATGGTTCAAGGTGAGGGGCTTACCACCCATCATGGTTCAAGGTGAGGGGCTTACCACCCATCATGGTTCAAGGTGAGGGGCTTACCACCCATCATGGTTCAAGGTGAGGGGCTTACCACCCATCATGGTTCAAGGTGAGGGGCTTACCACCCATCATGGTTCAAGGTGAGGGGCTTACCACCCATCATGGTTCAAGGTGAGGGGCTTACCACCCATCATGGTTCAAGGTGAGGGGCACCACACACTACTTGGTTCAAGGTGAGGGGCACCTCACACTACTTGGTTCAAGGCGAGGGGCACCACACACTACTTGGTTCAAGGTGAGGGGCACCACACACTACTTGGTTCAAGGTGAGGGGCACCACACACTACTTGGTTCAAGGTGAGGGGCACCACACACTACTTGGTTCAAGGTGAGGGGCACCACACACTACTCGCCCTGCCTTTCCTCACCACCCATGCATCGGCTTTCCACTGTGGTTGTGAACCGCCCATACTCTCTGTATCTCGTGCTGCTGCTGCCTGTGTGTGGCACTCCCGAACTGCAGTGTCATTCCCACCCTCACCAGGGAGCTGCCACCAGTGAGGTGCCACCAGTGAGCTGCCACCAGTGAGCTGCCACCAGTGAGCTGCCACCAGTGAGCTGCCACCAGTGAGCTGCCACCACCAGTGAGCTCGCACTCACCAGGGGATTTGGTGCGCCGCATGACTCCTCACGCTCATCAATGCACGCGTGAGCGTCTAACCTCCTCTAGCCGCCTGGAAAGAATGTTCTCATTGAATGCACCCCCTGCAACTCTGCAACCCCTCTCCCCCTGCCCTCGTGCATGGCCCACTGCAGGTGCCGTTGCTGCAGTCACAGCTGGCGTGTTGCTGCGAGTGGGCCTTCTTCCTCGACTCAGACGCCTACATGCGCATGCACCACCACACCCTCTCCATCCCCGCCTGGATCCACACCATCAACCAACCTGTCAGTGCTTGCTTGCTTCTCTCTTAACGCCTGCAGCCGCCTATTTTTGTGCTCTCGGCTGAGATGTTCCCAGGCCGTTGTTCCAATGTCGAGTTACACATTAGAAACAAACAAAAGTTCCCAAAGGCACATGTGGTAGTGCAAGCATAAAGGCTCTGTTCCTCATCCACCAAGACCTTTGCCATCCGCTGAATGCCATTCCTGCGTATGCCTCTTGCGTATGCCCCCTCCTCCCCGCAGAATTACTTCAACTGGCTGCTGAGGGACAATCTAACCGACTCTCTGGAGGGGCAGGTGTGGCTCCCACAGGACCCTGCTCTGCTGCTACAGCCGCCCTCCGCGCTACATCCAGAAGGAGGGCCCGTGGCTCTGATACCACGGAACGGCGACTCAAGGGATGGATATTATGGGGATGTGGGCATGGTGTTCCGGAGGGACTCGGACTACATCAATGCGGGCGTCATGCTCTGGCGGCGATCGCCAGCCACTTTCAAGGTGGGGGGTTGGAGTGGCTTGGGTCGGACTAGCAAGTGTGGGGTTTGACGGGGATGTGGGGATGGTGTGCCGGACACGGACTACATGAATGCGGGCGTGATGCTGTGGCGGCGATCGCCAGCCACTTTCAAGGTGGGGGGTTGAGTGGCTTGGGGAGGCGGAGATGCTGTTCCGGAGGGACTCAGACTACATCAATGCGGGCGTCATGCTCTGGTGCCGCTCACCGGACAGCTTCCAGGTGGGGGGTATCCTTAGAGTTGCTGCAGGCTTGAATGGCTTGGGCTTGAGTAACATGGGCCTGAGTGGCTTGGGTGGCCCGAGTGGCTTGGGGTTGCACTAGCAGATGTGGAGTTGGGGTCGCCAAATCGTTGCTTAGGAAGGGAAAAGCCATTGTCAGTGCTGTGGGTAGACAGCTTCAAGTTGGGGGAGTGAGCCTGAGCCATACAGGCGAGTGGATTAGCACATGAGGGGATGGACCAACATGTGCTTTGGGTACCGCGCCAGCATGTATATGGCTCGGTGAGTATTTTCGCATCTGTTTCGTCGCCTGCCTGTTTGGGAGTGCTGGTGTGCTGTAGAGGTAAATTTGAAGTTAACACCACCGTCGGAGAGGTGCCGTGTGGGAGAGGTGCCGTGTGGGAGAAGTGCCGTGTGGGAGAGGTGCCGTGTGGGAGAGGTGCCGTGTGGGAGAGGTGCCGTGTGGGAGAGGTGCCGTGTGGGAGAGGTGCCGTGTGGGAGAGGTGCCGTGTGGGAGAGGTGCCGTGTGGGAGAGGTGCGGTGCTGATTAGCTCTTCACACAGCTTCAAGCTCACATCAGTGGCAGCTCATGTCTTCCAAGCCCTTCCACATGCAGGTCATGGTATTGCAAGCCTTCACTCCAGTTGTGTTGGTAATAAATTCCCTTCCCAAATGTCTCTCATTGCACTGCTGCTGTGCCTTCACCCCCTCTGCTCTCATCGTTCTTGAGGCAGTGGTACAGCGAGCAGAGGGGCGAGTAGAGCGTGGTCAACCACGTGTGGGAGGAGTCAAGCCTCAACCAGGTGTGGGAGGAGTGAAGCCTCAAGCAGGTGTGGGAGGAGTGAAGCCTCAAGCAGGTGGCACGTGAGCCACAGTGGATCATCATTCCACTGCTCTTGCCCCGTTCGCCCCCTCTGCGCAGTTCTTGAGGCAGTGGTACAGCGAGCAGCAGGGCGAGTACCACCTGTTCAGCCACGTGTGGGAGCAGCACCGCCTCAACCAGGTGGCTCGTTGGCCGCAGTGGCGGCGGAGGGTGCTCATGGTGCCGTTCCGCGAGCTCACAGGGCCGCAGGGGGCCATGGTGCGGCATCTGTGGGGGGGTGTGGCGAGCGAAGAGCGCGACAGGGTGGTGTATGAGGCTCTGGAGGAGGCACTGGGCAGCCTGAAGTAAGGGCAGCACATACGTGGGCTTCACTAGGCTTGTGTGGGCTTGTGTGGGATTCTCCGGGTATGTCCAGGCCTGTCTGTTCTTGCTGGGCTTGCTGCAGGTAAGGGCAGCTTGTGGCAGGGTGGTGGTATGTGGGCCATTGGAAGAAGCACTGCACCGGGCTTTGCTGGGTGAGGTGCTGTGCTGCTGGCATGGGTGGAAGGTGTCACGCTTGTGCGACCTGCGTGCAGATGCGTGTGTGGGTGATCTTTCACCGGACGCACGTGCTGTTGTGGTGGTCGAGGTGCTGCCGGAGGTGCTGGGGTAGCACTGTAACAGGCTGCGGCAGCTGTGTGTGGGAAGGGAAGTTCTTATACAGGGCGTTATATTCAAAGGAGAGTGTTTTGAGAGGCAGTATGTGAAGCAATGGAGAGTTGGCTTGCCACGCTGAGGTCTTGTCTGTAGGTGATGTGTGGGGAGTATTGGCTTGATCGGGTCTGGATGAATACTTCTGTGATAGGGGCTTATAAGATATATATATATATTTATTTATTTGTTTTAAAGCGACACTGGGGAACCACTCATGTAACATTATAAGAGAACTCCACAACTTGAGGTTGCGGCCTTTAGGCTGAAGGTATATCTAAATTGACAAGCATGCGACGCTCCGCTTTGCCTTTGTCACCACAAAATGACGACGCTTTTCCATGCGTCAAACCTGCCCCAAGATACTCAATAACCAATTATAGGCGCTGGACACAGGTTGTGCTCCAACATTGTGGTTCTGTGTTTATGAGAAGAATGGCATGTACAGGGGCTTGTACAGTTGTCACCACATGAGTAGGAACGAGCTGACATGACACGAGTTGTCGCCCATCACTGTGGCTGCTCCTGGCCCTCACACTCCCTTGAAAACACACACGTGAAATCCCCCGTGCCGCCCACTATCCGCACAAAGTCATTCCGGCAGAACAGCCCCGCATCCCGCGCCACACAGCGCTCCCCAAACCGCCTCTCCGCCCACCCTGGCAGCTCCTCCGGCCCCACCACGCCCCCCACGCCCCCCATCCCCCCCATCCCCCCCAGCCCTGCTGCCACCACCTCCCTCGCCGTGCCAAGAATCACTCTCAGCTCGCTCAAATCCTCCTCTGTCAGCTCCACCCGCCTCCGGTGCGTGAAATACTCCTTGCACTCGGGGTGCCCGTGCGTGCAGTCGTACAGACTCAGCCCGTCCACCTCAGCGCGGTCACCTGCCTGGAAGCTTCCTCGGCGGCACATCTTCATGAAGTAAGGCAGGCCGGCACTTAAAGCCATGGCGTAGTAGGTCTCGTGCAGCACGTGGTACGGCATGATCTCCACCACCGCTGTGGTGCGCCGTGCGAAGAGCGGCGGGTTGGCGAGGGCGGCGCCGTGCAGGGAGACGATGATGTCGGCCGACTGGATGGCGTCGAACTGCTGCTTGAAGGTCAGCTGGCTCAGCTCCGCCATGCTCACCTGGTGGGGGGGATTAGGGGATGGGGGGATGGGGGAGGTGGGGAAGGGGGAGGGGGGAGGGCGGAGGGTGCGCATGGAGAAAAATATTAGTGAGACGCCTCAGAAAGTGGTGCCGGAAGGTCAGCTGGCCCAGCTTCGCCCTGCTCACCTGGTGGTGGCGGAGAGGGGAGGTGGGAGGCGAGTGGCAGGAAAGGGAGTGTGGACATTTTCTGGATTCCGTTCATGCATCCGAAACAGAGGTCAGAAGGTCAGCTGGCCCAGATTCGCCATGCTCACCTGGTGTGAGGGGAGGGTGTGGGGGAAGACGAGCATGCATACGTGAACAGTGAAGGTGGGAAGGTGATGATACAGGAAAGGCTAGTGCTGGCTCCGCCGGGGCTCGGGTGACAAGGAAGCGCCATTTGTGTTGGGGTGTGCTACCTCTCACGTCATATAACACACGTGCACTCCACCCTCTATGCCCCCTCAATGCCACACGCCATGCCCATTCTCATCTCCTGCATTCACACCCCCTCAATGCCACACGGCAATGGATTACAAGTCTCACCTCCATGTTCATCTCCTCCATCAGTCGCAGCAGCGCCTCATGGCTCTCTGGCAGGAACGTGCGGCGCTGCCTGAGCTCCGCCCCCAGGCGGGTGATGTACAGCACACGCGCCCGCCACCCCTGCGCGCCCTCCGGCCCCCACAGCACCGCGGGGGGCGGCTGCAGGCGCAGCTTCACCCGCAGGTGGCGCTGCAGGTAGCCGGCTTGGGCGGGCGAGGAGGGGAACACCTGGCCCTGTTGGGGGGTGGGGAAGAGGGGTCTTCTGAGTCGATTCTCACGCTTCACACGCAGTGCAGTGCAGAGGTGGCTGTGTGGGGAAGAGTAGAGGGAGGGCGATAGAACCCCGAAGAGATTGAAGCTCAAGTTGCTGGGAGGGAGGGTGGATGGCACGTGAGAGGCAGGTTGCTGTGCTCGTGGCGCTGCTGCTAGCCTGGCAGCACCGGGGAGGAGAGGGGGCTTGGGCGTGCAGGGAGGGAGGGCGGCACAAGTATCCTGAATGAGCCCGCACGTGCCCCAGCAGGAGGCTTCAGACACAGCTGTTTGCGCCGGTGGCGCTGCAGCAGGGCTAGTCCAGGTGCAGAGGGGAGGTGGTTTGGACTAGCCTTGCTGCGAGGGGAGGTGAACACATGGAGAAGCTTGATTGCGCTTGATGCGGCTTGGTGCGGCTTGGTGCGGCTTGGTGCGGCTTGGTGCGGCTTGGTGCGGCTTGGTGCGGCTTGGTGCGACTTGGTGCGACTTGGTGCGACTTGGTGCGACTTGGAGAACACATGGGAAGGCTGGCTGAACAAGCGATGAAGGTGTGAAAATTGTGAAGTGAATAATTTTTGTTGATTAGGGAAGAAGGGAGAATACATAGGATGCAAGAGGAGCTTGGAAGGGAAGGGAGTAAGTTGGGTGGTTGGGCAGTCCCTATGGCAACTTGCAAGGAGGGGGCACCCAACTTGCAACAAGGACCATATGGGTTGCAAGGAGGGGGCACCCAACTTGTGGGTTGCAAAGAGGGGGTACCCAACTTGCACTTGGGGGCTCCAACACTTGTGGGTTGGATTGGCACCCCAACTTGCAAGTCTACTCCACAAAGTTTGGTGTAGACCTACAAAGCAAGCTACACCCAAAGTTGGGTGTAGCACCATCCCCTTTTATACTTAGCATGCTATACATACATTTCTAACACAACCCCTTAGCATGCTAAGACAAGAAGGGGACAACCCCTGAATCAAGGGGCGCCCGGTGGAGCAAGGCCGATGAGGCGGAGGAGAGCAGAGTGCGCAGGGCGAAGGAGGGCCTTGGTGAAGAGGTCGGCCAAGTTGGCCTCGGCAGCAATCTTGCGTACTGCAAGAAGGCCGCGCTGGACGAGCTCGCGGATGAAGAAATAGCGCAGCTCGATGTGCTTGGAGCGGGCGTGGTAGACGGGGTCCTGAGTGGGATGGATGGTGCTGGCGTTGTCACACCAGAGGGTGGGGCAAGGCTGAGGGGCGCCAAGCTCAGCAAGAAGAAAGCAGAGCCAGCGGGATTCCTGAGCGGCCATGGTGCCAGCGTAGAGCTCGGCCTCGCAGGTGGAGAGAGAGACGGAGGAGGAGCGCGTGGAGCGCCAGCTGACAAGGCCGCTGCCGAGGGTGAAGCCGTAGCCCTGAGAGGAGCGGCGGTCCGGCTGCGAGTCAGCCCAGGAGGAGTCGCTGAAGCCCGAAAGCAGGGGAGGGGAGGGGCCACCAAGAGTGAGGGCGTGGTCCTTGGTGCCGCGAAGGTAGCGGAGGACCCTCTTGGCAGCTTTCCAGTGCACCTCCGTGTGGCGACCAGTGCCAACAAAGCGAGCGAGCACGCTGATGGGGTAGGCGAGGTCGGGGCGGGTGCACATCATTGCGTACATCAGCGACCCAACGAGCTCAGCATAAGGGCGAGAGGAGGAGGAGGGAGAGGTGGGTGGGGCAAGTTGGTGGCCAAAAGGGAGGGGGGTGGCCGTGGGACTGGCCTGTGCCATCTCGAACTTCTCCAAGACCTGGCCGATGTAATGGGACTGGGAGAGGGTGATGGTGCGAGCAGGGCGGTTTCCGCGTGATGGTCATGCCCAGGTAGTGCGTAAGGTCGCCGAGGTCCTTGCATTTGAGACGCTGCTGCAGGGACATCTTCATCTGCTCCATGTCAGCCTTGGAGTCAGAAATCAGGATCATGTCGTCCACGTACACCAAAATTGTAAAGCGGCGAGGGGAGGAGCGAATGAAGAGGCTGGCGTCAGAGTGCGAAGCAGAGAAGCCGAGGGACCCCAAGGTGGCAGACAGCTTCGCATGCCACTCCCTTGGCGCCTGCTTCAAACCATAGACAGGGCGACGCAGCTGCCACACATTGTTTTCAGGAAAGGCTGCGTGGAACCCAGGGGGCCGCCGGAGAAAAATGCGCTCGTGCAGGTCACCCTGCAGGAACGCGTTGGAGACGTCCATGGAGCAGATCTCCATGTTGTCGCGCGCACCAATGTCGAGGACGGTGCGAAGGGTGGGCGGCTTGGCGGTGGGGGCGAAGGTAAACCAGTAATCCTCAGCCCAAGTCTGCGTGAAACCCTTGGCGCAGTAGCGTGCCTTGTAGACCGGCTCCTCACCCGGAAGCTGCTTCACCCGAAAGATCCACTTGCCCTCAACGAGGTTGGCGTCGGCTGGGAGGGGGACATCGATGAAGGAGTCGTTGCGAATGAATGCCTCGCACTCCAGAAAGATCGCCGCGATCCATTTGTCCGCGTCAGGGCAGGTGATGGCCTCTTGGAAGGTGGTGGGAGTGAAGATGGTGGGGGTGGAGGTGACGCCAAGGACGGGAAAGCCGAGGAAGTCAAGGTAGAGGGAGGCAAGGAAAGGTGTGTGTTGCCGAATGTTGAGGAACTCCTCATGGGAGTCCTCGAGGAGTTGAATGGAGGCGGGGGGAGGGGCACCAAGGATTTTGTCCACGGAGCGCGTATGCATGCGAGGGAGGAGGAAAGGGGAGGAGCGGGAAGTTGCACGTCGCTGCTGCTGCTGCTGGTGCTGCTGTAATTGCTGCCCTTGCTGCTGCTGCAGTCCCTGTTGCGGCTGCTGCTGTTGCTGCTGCCCCGTCCGATGCTGATGCTGCTGCCCCGGCTGCTGCTGCGGCTGCTGCACCTGCTGCTGCTGACCCGGCTGCTGCTGATGCTGCTGCCCCTGCTGCTGCTGCCCCTGCTGCTGCCCCTGCTGCTGCTGCTGCTGCTGCTGCTGCTGCTACTGCTGCTGGTGCTGACCCGGCTGCTGCTGCTGCTGGTTCTGACCCGGCCGTTGCTGCTGCTGCTGCCCCGGCCGCTGCGGATGCTGCTGCCCCTGCTGCTGCTGGTGCTGCTGATCCGGCTGCTGTTGCAGCTGCTGCGGAAAAGGGGGAGAATGAGAGGAGGAGGGAGAGGAGGGAGCAGGTGCAGCTGAGTGGGCCGGGGAGGCCGGTGCGGCAGGGTCATAGACGTCGGCAGAGGAGGAAGGCGGGAGCGGAGCGGCGACAGGCGGGAGGAGAGGCGCTGGAGGGAGAAGTGGCGGGAGGACGGTGTCGGTCCAAGCGAGGGGGCGAGTGGGAGGAGGGAGAGGGTCAGGAGGAGGAGTGGAGTAGTAGGGAATGGACTCGTCGAAGACGACGTCAATGCTGCGGATGAGGCGATTGGTGGGAGGGTGGAGGAACAGGTAGCCTGGGGAATCGCGATTGTGCCCGAGGTAGACGCACTCCAGGGCACGAGGGGCGAGCTTTCCAGCCGCGCGGGAGCGATCGGCCGGTGGAATGAGGACGAACGCCTTGCACCCCCAAACACGAAGGCCGGCAGCGTCGGGCTTGGCCTGGGACCAGAGTTCTGTGGGGGAGGAGGAGGGATGCTGAGGGTGGGAGCGGAGATTGAGGAGGAGGGCGGCATGCAGGAGGGCATAGCTCCAGAGGGAGGGAGGGGTGGAGGCGTGAGCAAGAAGGCAGCGAGCAATCTTGGTGATCTCACGGATGCGACTCTCAGCGATGCCGTTTTGCTGAGGGGAGTGGGGGAGGGTGGAGGTCTGCTGAATGCCGTATGTGTTGCAGTAAGTGGAAAGGGTATGATTGATGAACTCACCCCCACCGTCAGAGTGAAGGCGGCCGATGGGGCGTTTGAAGTGAGTGCGACACTGCTCAGCCCAGTTGATGACCACAGCCGGCACCTGGTCTTTCGTGTGAAGAAAGAAGACGGTGGAGTAACGACTGTGGTCGTCGACGAGCACGAGCATGTACCGATGCCCCTGACGGGAGCGGATAGGATAAGGGCCCCAGAGATCCATGTGAACAAGGTCAATGGGGGCGGCAGCGAATGTGGGATGACTGTGATGGGGGGACTGTTTGAGCTTGCCATGAATGCAGGATGGGCATGGAGGAGCAGGGGAGGAGGGGAGGGGAGGTAATGTGGGAGGAAGGCTGTTAAGGAGGCGAGAGGTAACGGAGGAGCGAAGTGCAGCGAAGTTGGGATGGCCGAGTCTGTGATGCAAGAGCACTGCAGGGTGGGAGAGGGTAGTAGAGGAGGAGGGGGAAGGGGTGGGGGAAGAGGTGGGGGGGGAGGAGGAGGGGGATGGGGTAGAGGAGGAGGATACAGGGGGGGGAGGGGGAGGGGGAGGGAGAGGGGGAAGAGGACCGGTGGAAGTACCGGCACGGGTGGTGACGTGACAGAACGAGGGACGGGGTGTGCGGAGCATATAAAGTCGAGTGCGAGGGCAAAGGGGAATGCGCAGGAGGAAGCGACCAGAGGCGGTGTGGTAGAGATCACAGTAGGAAGCAAATCCAGGGTAAATGGCGGTAATACCAACGCCTTGGAGCTCACGGTGGGAGAGGAGGTTATTGCGAAGGGTGGGGATGTGGAGACCTGTGACTGTACCAGACGGGAAAGCGGTGCAAGGAAGGGTGGAGAGGTGAGTGCAGGGGATGGAAAAACTGGAGTCGGCACCATGAACCTGGGTGGGAAGTGGAAGGGGGGTGAGGGTGCCAGCGTCTTTCAATGCAGTTTCGGTGGCTCCACTGTCAAGGACGAAGTCCAGGGTGCGGGAGGAAGGAGAAGGGGGTGACGGAGAGTACTGGAGATACGTCTCATGGAGAGAAGGGGGATACAGCGGCAGATGCTGCTGCTAGAAGCACTGCTGTCGCTGCGGCTGCTGCTGGAGAAACTGTGGCTGCCGCGGCTGTTGGAAGGACTGTTGCTGCTGTGGCTGCTGCGGTTGGAGAAACTGTGGCCGCTGCTGTTGCTGGAGGCACTGCTGCCGCTGCGGCTGCTGCTGGGGAAATTGTGGTTGCTGCTGCTGCAGGAAGCACCACTGCAGCTGTGGCTGCTGCTGCTGTTGGTAGCATTGCTGCCGCTGTGGTTGCTGCGACTGGAGAATCAATGGCGGCTGTGACCGGAGAAACTGTGGCTGCTGCTGTTGAAGCTGCCGAAAACGCTGCAGCTGGGGAGGGGGGGAAGGGGTGAGTAGGCGGAGGTGAGCAGGGAGGAAGGAGGGGAGGGTCGAAATGTGCATGAGGGAGGGGCGAGGGGTAACACCAGTCCAGCGAGGAGGGGGGGGGAGGGGCAGAGGGGGTAGCAGCCATGATGGGCGACGGCGGGTGGACCTGCGGCGGCAAAGGGGGGGGGGGGGGGGGTTGCTGCTGCTACTGCTGCTGCACTCCTCCTCCTGCTGCTGCTACTGATGCTGCTGCTGCCGCTGCACTCCTTCTGCCGCTGCCACTGCTGCCGCTGCGCACCTCACGCTGCTGCTGCTGCTGCTGAGGAGGGGGGGGGGGGAGAGGGAGAGGAGGAGGGGGAGGGGGGAGGGAGGGTGCAGCTGCTGCTGCCGCTGCTGCTGCTGAGGGGGGGGGGGGAGAGGGAGAGGAGGAGGGGGAGGGGGAAGGGAGGGTGCAGCTGCTGCTGCCGGGGGGTGGGGGAGAGGGAGAGGAGGAGGGAGAGGGGGAAGGGAGGTTGCAGCTGCTGCTGCTGCTGCTGCTGCGGCTGGTGCTGCCGCTGCTGCCGCTGCTGCTGCTGGTTCGGCTGCTGCTGCTGCTGAGGGGGGGGGGGGAGAGGGAGAGGAGGAGGGAGAGGGGGAAGGGGGGGGGGAGGGGGAGGAGGGCTGAATGGCCCGTAGGAGGAGGACGCGAGGGGGGAAGGGGGAGGAGGGCTGGATGGCCCGTAGGAGGAGGAAGCGAGGGGGAAGGGGGAGGAAAGGGGGGGAGGGGGGGGCGGCAGAAGCGTGGGGAAGATGCGAAACGCCCGTGGGAGCAGAACGGACGGGCGAATTTCCCGCGGGAGCAGAACGGACGGGCGAAATGCCCGCGGGAGCAGAACTAACGGGCGAAATGCCCGCGGGAGCAGAACCGACGGGCGAAATGCCCGCGGGAGCAGAACTGACGGGCGAAATGCCCGCGGGAGCAGAAGTGACGGGCGAAATGCCCGCGGGAGCAGAAGTGACGGGCGAAATGCCCGCGGGAGCAGAACTGACGGGCGAAATGCCCGCGGGAGCAGAACTGACGGGCGAAATGCCCGCGGGAGCAGAAGTGACGGGCGAAATGCCCGCGGGAGCAGAAGTGACGGGCGAAATGCCCGCGGGAGCAGAAGTGACGGGCGAAATGCCCGCGGGAGCAGAAGTGACGGGCGAAATGCCCGCGGGAGCAGAAGTGACGGGCGAAATGCCCGCGGGAGCAGAAGTGACGGGCGAAATGCCCGCGGGAGCAGAACTGACGGGCGAAATGGAACCTACGGCGGAAGGTTCTACGACGGCTAAATGGAAGCGCGTGGGAGATTCTAGATCTAAGACGGTGCAAATCGGCCTACGGTGACGAATGGAAGCTACGACGTGAGAAGTGGGAGAGATCGAGAAGAAACTAGAGAAATGGAGGAAGAAGAGTGGAGAAGTATCGAGAAGGGAGTTGACGAGGGGAAATTGAGGTTCGAGACCAAGGCGCATTCGAGAAAGTTCCAGATTCGGACTTGAGGAGTGTTCACCGAATTCGGTTCGGTTCCGTGTGCGACTCAGGATGAAACGAGGCGCACGCGGTTACTTGGGAAACAAGTTACGTTACGAATCGCGTTTTGTCTTGCCTACCTATAAAACTGCTTGTACTCATTCTGGAAATCACAACATTGGACAACATTGAGATTCTGAAATTGCTGAAGTGTGTATTGACAACTTCAAGCAGAGCTGCGCATATCATTGGATTCATGAGATCGTGGAGAACACGATAAGCAATAGCAAGTAGACTATTGCCGACTAAGGTGTTTACGATCCTAAGAACTGGTATCAGAGCTTGGCGAACGGGCTCGTCGATCGCGGTGAATTCACTTGGTGCGCTAAGTGAAATTAGTGGAGAAGAGGAGTCGTTCACGCCTACGCCATGGGAGACGAGGCGAGTTCGGGTTCCAGTGTGAGTCTTGGAGACCCGCAGTTGAAGGCTCTTCTCGAGGCCCTTGCGAGTGGCCGATTGGTGGCGAAACCGACGATCGGGCTCAGTGAAGCCCAGCGCTTCAACGTAAGCAACTACAACGTGTGGCGGAAGAAGTTTATTCGGAGGGCAGAGGAGGTTGACCTCTTGCCGTACTACCGTCCCGACGAGGAGACGATGGAGGGAGTTGCGCCATCCCCGACGGATACGAAGGAGAAAATAGCGGCGTTCAAAAAACAAAGTAAGCAAGCGTTCTTTCAGCTTTGTCACTCAGTTGCCGACGGAATCGCGGTGGATTTGGACCAGTTTGCAGGGGAGCTGAACTCTGCACAGCGAGCGTGGGAGTACTTGGAGTCCATGTACATGGGTACGAACGATGTCAACAAGAAGGCGATTAGGAAGCAACTGCTGATGCTGAGCATGGAGAAAGGCGAGAAAATCATCACCTACATCAACAGGGCGAAAAGATACAACGACGATTTGCGGGTGATGGGAGCCGCGGAGACGGAGCATGAGATGATAGACTACATCATCCAAGGCCTTCCTAAGGAGTGGGAATCCGACATCGGTATGTTTACGTACCAACCGCCGGAGAGTTTGACGAAGCTGCAGGAGATTCTGCAATCGCTTGAGACGGTGAAGGAGATGAGGAAAAAGAAAGCGGCAGCAGCAGCGGAATTAGACGAGGAGAGGTCGGCTATGGTGAATGCGACAAAGGCGTTTGGAGCGTGCTACCAGTGTGGAAAGAGGGGGCATAAGGCGATATACTGCTACGAAAATCCGCGAAGCAGGAACTACAAAGGCAAAGCGTTGGAGAACGATAAAGGAGAAAATGGAGGAGCGGAGTGGCAGCAGAAACGAGGTTTTGGCGGCAAGTGTGACTATTGTGGTCGCTACGGACATCGTGCCGCAGAGTGCTACTCCAATCCGAACAGCAGGAGCTACAAGGGTCCGTCGCAGCAGAGGATTGTGGCGGGTAAGGCGAATGTAGCGGAAGCGGAAAAGGAGGATGTGATCCTTGGAGGAGCGCATCTTGCGAACGTGGTGCGTTTACCAAAGGATGATCGTCAGACGGACGGACGTGAGAAGACGGCATGGTTCATGGACAGCGGATGCACGCGTCACATGACATTCAGGTCAGATTGGATGGAGAATGTGAGGGAGTCGAGTGAGGATTATATACTGCAAGGTAACGGTGGGAAGCTGCCAGTGACAGGAGAGGGTGACGTGGTGCTGCAGAGTCCGTATGGAGAGATGAGACTGGAGAATGTGCTGCTGGTTGAGGATTTAAAGGTGAATTTGGTCAGTCAGTCACAGCTTGATGACTTGGGGTGCAAGATATTTTATGACAGTGGAAAGGTTACAATGTTTGGCCCAGAGTGGGAGAAGTGCGCAGAGGGTTACTTCAGTGACAGATTTTATGAGATGAACGTGATAGCGACGAATGATATGGATGAGATCTATGAGGATCCTGAGTATGGTGAGATGGGAGAATTCGAGGAGTTATCGGTTGAGGATGATGAGAGTGAGGAGACGGATGATACGGCAGCAAGTGTGGAGGCAGCAGTGAAGCAGAAAGAGGAGATAGTCGCCATGGAGGCAGCAGCAGTGAATGGTGGAGATGGAGTTGGTGTCAACACTTTTGCAGCAGCGATCGTGGTTGAAGATGAAGCAGTAAATGCGAATTATATGGGAGTTGAAGCTGTGAAAGGGGACATCCTGGTGAAGGGATCAAATGTGAAAGCAACTGCAAAGGGGCGAGTGCTTACGAAGGAGGAACACGTTGAAGGGTACAAGACCCGAGAAATGTTGGGTGTTGAGATGCCGAGGAGAAGCGAGAGGCTTAAGGATATCTCTCAAGGTTTGGACGTCAAGGCGCTCAACTTCACGACACGTAAGCAGAGGTTCAAGGTGCAGGAGCTGCAGGGGAGCGTGAAGCAGACTTAGACCCTGTGAAGGCTACCAGGAGCAGGGGAGGAGTGCGGGTGGAGTTCGTGGTTGACGAACCACAGGGGAGGTTGTTAGGGTTGGTTCGCCCAACCACGGAACCTACGGCGGAAGGTTCTACGACGGCTAAATGGAAGCGCGTGGGAGATTCTAGATCTAAGACGGTGGAAATCGGCCTACGGTGACGAATGGAAGCTACGACGTGAGAAGCGGGAGAGATCGAGAAGAAACTAGAGAAATGGAGGAAGAAGAGTGGAGAAGTATCGAGAAGGGAGTTGACGAGGGGAAATTGAGGTTCGAGACCAAGGCGCATTCGAGAAAGTTCCAGATTCGGACTTGAGGAGTGTTCACCGAATTCGGTTCGGTTCCGTGTGCGACTCAGGGTGAAACGAGGCGCACGCGGTTACTTGGGAAACAAGTTACGTTACGAATCGCGTTTTGTCTTGCCTACCTATAAAACTGCTTGTCCTCATTCTGGAAATCACAACATTGGACAACATTGAGATTCTGAAATTGCTGAAGTGTGTATTGACAACTTCAAGCAGAGCTGCGCATATCATTGGATTCATGAGATCGTGGAGAACACGATAAGCAATAGCAAGTAGACTATTGCCGACTAAGGTGTTTACGATCCTAAGAGAAGTGACGGGCGAAATGCCCGCGGGAGCAGAAGTGACGGGCGAAATGCCCGCGGGAGCAGAAGTGACGGGCGAAATGCCCGCGGGAGCAGAAGTGACGGGCGAAATGCCCGCGGGAGCAGAAGTGACGGGCGAAATGCCCGCGGGAGCAGAAGTGACGGGCGAAATGCCCGCGGGAGCAGAAGTGACGGGCGAAATGCCCGCGGGAGCAGAAGGACGGGCGAAATGCCCGCGGGAGCAGAACCGACGAAATGCCCGCGGGAGCAGAACCGACGGGCGAGATGCCCGCGGGAGCAGAACCGACGGGCGAGATGCCCGCGGGAGCAGAACCGACGGGCGAGATGCCCGCGGGAGCAGAACCGACGGGCGAGATGCCCGCGGGAGCAGAACCGACGGGCGAGATGCCCGCGGGAGCAGAACCGACGGGCGAGATGCCCGCGGGAGCAGAACCGACGGGCGAGATGCCCGCGGGAGCAGAACCGACGGGCGAGATGCCCGCGGGAGCAGAACCGACGGGCGAGATGCCCGCGGGAGCAGAACCGACGGGCGAGATGCCCGCGGGAGCAGAACCGACGGGCGAGATGCCCGCGGGAGCAGAACCGACGGGCGAGATGCCCGCGGGAGCAGAACCGACGGGCGAGATGCCCGCGGGAGCAGAACCGACGGGCGAGATGCCCGCGGGAGCAGAACCGACGGGCGAGATGCCCGCGGGAGCAGAACCGACGGGCGAGATGCCCGCGGGAGCAGAACCGACGGGCGAGATGCCCGCGGGAGCAGAACCGACGGGCGAGATGCCCGCGGGAGCAGAACCGACGGGCGAGATGCCCGCGGGAGCAGAACCGACGGGCGAGATGCCCGCGGGAGCAGAACCGACGGGCGAGATGCCCGCGGGAGCAGAACCGACGGGCGAGATGCCCGCGGGAGCAGAACCGACGGGCGAGATGCCCGCGGGAGCAGAACCGACGGGCGAGATGCCCGCGGGAGCAGAACCGACGGGCGAGATGCCCGCGGGAGCAGAACCGACGGGCGAGATGCCCGCGGGAGCAGAACCGACGGGCGAGATGCCCGCGGGAGCAGAACCGACGGGCGAGATGCCCGCGGGAGAAGAAATGGCGGGCGATTGGGGGCGACGGCGGCGGTCTAGGCCACGGCGTCTAAGTGGGAAAGGGTGGGCCCATGAAAGAAAAAAAAACTGGAGGGAGGGGAGAGGTAAGGCCTAGGAAAAATTAGCTCTATACCATGTGAAAATTATGAAGTGAATAATTTTTGTTGATTAGGGAAGAAGGGAGAATACATAGGATGCAAGAGGAGCTTGGAAGGGAAGGGAGTAAGTTGGGTGGTTGGGCAGTCCCTATGGCAACTTGCAAGGAGGGGGCACCCAACTTGCAACAAGGACCATATGGGTTGCAAGGAGGGGGCACCCAACTTGTGGGTTGCAAAGAGGGGGTACCCAACTTGCACTTGGGGGCTCCAACACTTGTGGGTTGGATTGGCACCCCAACTTGCAAGTCTACACCACAAAGTTTGGTGTAGACCTACAAAGCAAGCTACACCCAAAGTTGGGTGTAGCACCATCCCCTTTTATACTTAACATGCTATACATACATTTCTAACAGAAGGCTATGCTGTGATGTGCTGTGTTGCGCTGTGCTGTGCGGTGCTAAGTGGACAGTCACGTGGGCCGCAGTGTACAGGCACGTGAAACCAGAGAAGGGTGAGTGCGGTGCAGAGGAGTGCCGGAAGTGAGATGTGCGTGCATGGAAGTTGGGAGGTGAGGATGGGACATGGAGAGAATGTGGAAGATAGGGAGGGAGGGAAGAAGGGAGGACGATATCCGATTCCAACTCACATGAAAGCAAATCTGAAATACCTGAGAGTTAACCTGGGACACCTGAGAATCCACCAGGGACACCTGAAAGCCCTGGGGCACGTTGGGCTCACCTTGAGAATCCCCGGCAGCAGCACGCGCTAGAAGCACAGCGGCTCCTCCTCCGTGGCCCGCCGCCACGCGCCCTCAAACTCCACCAGCCCGTTCGCCATGGGCTCGTCCCCCAGCGTGCGGTGCTCGTGCCTGCCTTGCCATGGGGCGGTGGGGGTAGGGGGAGGACAGGGCGGAAAAGAGGGTAGTGGGGGATGGAAGTGAGAGGATTGGAAGGAGAGGAAGGCTTTATGGAAGCTCTGGAAACACCAGAAACGGACAGTTCTGAAAGCCAGAGTAATGCGGCGAGGTAGGCTTAAGTAAAAAAAACAGAAATAAGAAGAAAAAGAAAAGTTTGTACTTAATCAAGCTCTGACAGCTAGAACCACCAGAGTGACTCCTTCCAAACCTACTAATGCTCTGTTCCGTATGTGGCATGTTGAGTAAGAATGTAACTGAGCTCCGAGGGTAAATCGACTCAAGCCTTGCAAGCCCGTGCTGCAACGTTATTTTGTTGTTAGAGCACACATCTGCAGTGCGGGGCGGGCTGGCCCCCACTCATCCATAATAATAAATAGTTGAATGTCATTGGTTCCTTGCTGGACACATTTCCTCTTGGTATGTGGCAGAGCATCAACCTTCATTCCCAAAGGTACCAAGCTCCTTGCACAGTGCTCGCATAGCGTAGCTCCTTGCACAGTGCTCGCATAGCGTAGCTCCTTGCACAGTGCTCGCATAGCGTAGCTCTTTGCACAGTGCTCGCATAGCGTAGCTCCTTGCACAGTGCTCGCATAGCGTAGCTCCTTGCTAGTCAGACTGATACCTGTGCCGTGCTTTTCAGGTGTATGAGTAGTTTGGATAAAAGATGGAGGTTCTTGTTTAAGGGAGAAAAAAAGATGTAGGTGCTGAGAGGGGAAGAGGACGAGCGCGGAGGACAGAGATTTAGTGTGATGTGTTGATGCAGAGCGGAGAAGAGGCAGGCAGGGAGGTGGGAAAGGCCAAAATGGTTCACAATGTCGCACTGCTCGAGACAGAAGCTGCCATTGTGGATACTCTCAGACACAGTGCATACGCTCTGGGAAAATGTTTGAGAAGAGGAGAGAGAGTAACGGGAGGTGGCGGGGATGTGCATCCGTGGTGCGAGGAGAGAGGTGAGCGATTTAGCTATGCGCTGCTGAGATGGGGGCAAGCAGAAGAAACAGCACGTACAGCTGAGAGGAGGTGTGCATCTGTGGCGTGAGTAAGGGCGTGAGGGCGAACTCGATGAGCGCCTGCAGCACCAAGGCGTGGATGGCGTAGCCGCCCCCCATGCGCCACCTGCCCTCGACAAGGGAGATGTGGAGAGAGTGAGGTATAGGAAGGGGAGGTATACGGATGAAAACCCTATTCACGCCTGCAGCAGCCACCCTATCATGCATGGCGCCTCCGCCTCCTACCGACACACCACGTGCAGCGTCAAAAGGGGAATGGCCCACATCGAAGCAGGGGGGAAGGGGCAGAAGACGTGACTACAATGGAGTCAGCGGGGGTGGTTATGGAAGGGCCAAGGGCGAAAGTCCAAGGCCGTGGATGGTGGCGAAACATTGGCATTGGCATTGGCGCAGCAAAGACATTGAGCAGCAGATGGGCATCATTGTGGCAGCGCTGATTCCAAGAGCAAGGCGAGAGAGAGAGTACCGCTCGAGGGTGAAGTCATCACGCGGCAGCATGAAGCGCGCCACGAGGGGGTGCAGCACGGGCGGGTCCGTGAAGTTGTTGGCCAGTAGCAGCGTGAACGCCTTGCCTGGTGGGGCGGGGGGAGCAGAGGAGAGGAGAGCATGGGAAAGAGGGCATGGGAAAGAGAGCCTGGGAAAGAGAGCCTGGGAAAGAGAGCCTGGGAAAGAGAGCATGGGAAAGAGAGCCTGGGAAAGAGAGCCTGGGAAAGAGAGCATGGGAAAGAGAGCATGGGAAAAAGAGCCTGGGAAAGAGAGCCTGGGAAAGAGAGCCTGGGAAAGAGAGCCTGGGAAAGAGAGCCTGGGAAAGAGAGCCTGGGAAAGAGAGCATGGGAAAGAGAGCCTGGGAAAGAGAGCATGGGAAAGAGAGCCTGGGAAAGAGAGCCTGGGAAAGAGAGCCTGGGAAAGAGAGCCTGGGAAAGAGAGCATGGGAAAGAGAGCATGGGAAAAAGAGCCTGGGAAAGAGAGCCTGGGAAAGAGAGCCTGGGAAAGAGAGCCTGGGAAAGAGAGCCTGGGAAAGAGAGCCTGGGAAAGAGAGCATGGGAAAGAGAGCCTGGGAAAGAGAGCATGGGAAAGAGAGCATGGGAAAGAGAGCCTGGGAAAGAGAGCTTGGGAAAGAGAGCCTGGGAAAGAGAGCCTGGGAAAGAGAGCATGGGAAAGAGAGCATGGGAAAGAGAGCCTGGGAAAGAGAGCTTGGGAAAGAGAGCCTGGGAAAGAGAGCCTGGGAAAGAGAGCATGGGAAAGAGAGCATGGGAAAGAGAGCCTGGGAAAGAGAGCATGGGAAAGAGAGCCTGGGAAAGAGAGCCTGGGAAAGAGAGCATGGGAAAGAGAGCCTGGGAAAGAGAGCCTGGGAAAGAGAGCCTGGGAAAGAGAGCCTGGGAAAGAGAGCATGGGAAAGAGAGCCTGGGAAAGAGAGCATGGGAAAGAGAGCATGGGAAAGAGAGCCTAGGAAAGAGAGCCTGGGAAAGAGAGCATGGGAAAGAGAGCATGGGAAAGAGAGCCTGGGAAAGAGAGCCTGGGAAAGAGAGCCTGGGAAAGAGAGCATGGGAAAGAGAGCCTGGGAAAGAGAGCCTGGGAAAGAGAGCATGGGAAAGAGAGCCTGGGAAAGAGAGCATGGGAAAGAGAGCATGGGAAAGAGAGCCTAGGAAAGAGAGCCTGGGAAAGAGAGCCTGGGAAAGAGAGCCTGGGAAAGAGAGCATGGTAAAGAGAGCCTGGGAAAGAGAGCATGGGAAAGAGAGCCTGGGAAAGAGAGCCTGGGAAAGAGAGCCTGGGAAAGAGAGCCTGGGAAAGAGAGCATGGGAAAGAGAGCATGGGAAAAAGAGCATGGGAAAGAGAGCATGGGAAAGAGAGCCTGGGAAAGAGAGCCTGGGAAAGAGAGCCTGGGAAAGAGAGCCTGGGAAAGAGAGCATGGGAAAGAGAGCCTGGGAAAGAGAGCCTGGGAAAGAGAGCATGGGAAAGAGAGCATGGGAAAGAGAGCCTGGGAAAGAGAGCATGGGAAAGAGAGCATGGGAAAGAGAGCATGGGAAAGAGAGCATGGGAAAGAGAGCATGGGAAAGAGAGCCTGGGAAAGAGAGCCGGGGAAAGAGAGCATGGGAAAGAGAGCATGGGAAAGAGAGCCTGGGAAAGAGAGTCTGGGAAAGAGAGCATGGGAAAGAGAGCATGGGAAAGAGAGCATGAGAAATAGAGCCTGGGAAAGAGAGCATGGGAAAGAGAGCCTGGGAAAGAGAGCATGGGAAAGAGAGCATGGGAAAGAGAGCCTGGGAAAGAGAGCCTGGGAAAGAGAGCATGGGAAAGAGAGCATGGGAAAGAGAGCATGGGAAAGAGAGCATGGGAAAGAGAGCATGAGAAATAGAGCCTGGGAAAGAGAGCATGGGAAAGAGAGCATGGGAAAGAGAGCATGGGAAAGAGAGCATGGGAAAGAGAGCCTGGGAAAGAGAGTCTGGGAAAGAGAGCATGGGAAAGAGAGCATGGGAAAGAGAGCATGGGAAAGAGAGCATGGGAAAGAGAGCCTGGGAAAGAGAGCATGGGAAAGAGAGCATGGGAAAGAGAGCATGGGAAAGAGAGCATGGGAAAGAGAGCCTGGGAAAGAGAGCATGGGAAAGAGAGCCTGGGAAAGAGAGCATGGGAAAGAGAGCCTGGGAAAGAGAGTCTGGGAAAGAGAGCATGGGAAAGAGAGCATGGGAAAGAGAGCCTGGGAAAGAGAGCATGGGAAAGAGAGTCTGGGAAAGAGAGCCTGGGAAAGAGAGTCTGGGAAAGAGAGCCTGGGAAAGAGAGCCTGGGAAAGAGAGCATGGGAAAGAGAGCATGGGAAAGAGAGCCTGGGAAAGAGAGCCTGGGAAAGAGAGCATGGGAAAGAGAGCATGGGAAAGAGAGCCTGGGAAAGAGAGCCTGGGAAAGAGAGTCTGGGAAAGAGAGCCTGGGAAAGAGAGCCTGGGAAAGAGAGCATGGGAAAGAGAGCATGGGAAAGAGAGCATGGGAAAGAGAGCCTGGGAAAGAGAGCATGGGAAAGAGAGCATGGGAAAGAGAGTCTGGGAAAGAGAGCCTGGGAAAGAGAGTCTGGGAAAGAGAGCCTGGGAAAGAGAGCCTGGGAAAGAGAGCCTGGGAAAGAGAGCATGGGAAAGAGAGCCTGGGAAAGAGAGCATGGGAAAGAGAGCCTGGGAAAGAGAGCCTAGGAAAGAGAGCCTGGGAAAGAGAGCATGGGAAAGAGAGCCTGGGAAAGAGAGCCTGGGAAAGAGAGCCTGGGAAAGAGAGCATGGGAAAGAGAGCATGGGAAAGAGAGCCTGGGAAAGAGAGCCTGGGAAAGAGAGCCTGGGAAATAGAGCATGGGAAAGAGAGCCTGGGAAAGAGAGCCTGGGAAAGAGAGCCTGGGAAAGAGAGCCTGGGAAAGAGAGCCTGGGAAAGAGAGCATGGGAAAGAGAGCCTGGGAAAGAGAGCCTGGGAAAGAGAGCCTGGGAAAGAGAGCCTGGGAAAGAGAGCCTGGGAAAGAGAGCATGGGAAAGAGAGCCTGGGAAAGAGAGCCTGGGAAAGAGAGCATGGGAAAGAGAGCCTGGGAAAGAGAGCATGGGAAAGAGAGCCTGGGAAAGAGAGCCTCGGAAAGAGAGCCTGGGAAAGAGAGCCTGGGAAAGAGAGCCTGGGAAAGAGAGCATGGGAAAGAGAGCCTGGGAAAGAGAGTCTGGGAAAGAGAGCCTGGGAAAGAGAGCATGGGAAAGAGAGCATGGGAAAGAGAGCCTGGGAAAGAGAGCATGGGAAAGAGAGCATGGGAAAGAGAGCATGGGAAAGAGAGCATGGGAAAGAGAGCATGGGAAAGAGAGCATGGGAAAGAGAGCATGGGAAAGAGAGCATGGGAAAGAGAGCATGGGAAAGAGAGCCTGGGAAAGAGAGCCTGGGAAAGAGAGCCTGGGAAAGAGAGCATGGGAAAGAGAGCATGGGAAAGAGAGCATGGGAAAGAGAGCATGGGAAAGAGAGCCTGGGAAAGAGATTCTGGGAAAGAGAGCCTGGGAAAGAGAGCATGGGAAAGAGAGCATGGGAAAGAGAGCCTGGGAAAGAGAGCCTGGGAAAGAGAGCATGGGAAAGAGAGCATGGGAAAGAGAGCCTGGGAAAGAGAGCCTGGGAAAGAGAGCCTGGGAAAGAGAGCCTGGGAAAGAGAGCATGGGAAAGAGAGCATGGGAAAGAGAGCATGGGAAAGAGAGCATGGGAAAGAGAGCCTGGGAAAGAGAGCCTGGGAAAGAGAGCATGGGAAAGAGAGCCTGGGAAAGAGAGCCTGGGAAAGAGAGCCTGGGAAAGAGAGCATGGGAAAGAGAGCATGGGAAAGAGAGCATGGGAAAGAGAGCCTGGGAAAGAGAGCCTGGGAAAGAGAGCATGGGAAAGAGAGCATGGGAAAGAGAGCATGGGAAAGAGAGCCTGGGAAAGAGAGCATGGGAAAGAGAGCATGGGAAAGAGAGCATGGGAAAGAGAGCATGGGAAAGAGAGCATGGGAAAGAGAGCATGGGAAAGAGAGCCTGGGAAAGAGAGCATGGGAAAGAGAGCCTGGGAAAGAGAGCATGGGAAAGAGAGCCTGGGAAAGAGAGCATGGGAAAGAGAGCCTGGGAAAGAGAGCCTGGGAAAGAGAGCATGGGAAAGAGAGCATGGGAAAGAGAGCCTGGGAAAGAGATTCTGGGAAAGAGAGCCTGGGAAAGAGAGCATGGGAAAGAGAGCCTGGGAAAGAGAGCATGGGAAAGAGAGCCTGGGAAAGAGAGCCTGGGAAAGAGAGCATGGGAAAGAGAGCATGGGAAAGAGAGCCTGGGAAAGAGATTCTGGGAAAGAGAGCCTGGGAAAGAGAGCATGGGAAAGAGAGCATGGGAAAGAGAGCCTGGGAAAGAGAGCCTGGGAAAGAGAGCATGGGAAAGAGAGCATGGGAAAGAGAGCCTGGGAAAGAGAGCCTGGGAAAGAGAGCCTGGGAAAGAGAGCCTGGGAAAGAGAGCATGGGAAAGAGAGCATGGGAAAGAGAGCCTGGGAAAGAGAGCCTGGGAAAGAGAGCATGGGAAAGAGAGCCTGGGAAAAAAAGCCTGGGAAAGAGAGCCTGGGAAAGAGAGCATGGGAAAGAGAGCATGGGAAAGAGAGCATGGGAAAGAGAGCCTGGGAAAGAGAGCCTGGGAAAGAGAGCCTGGGAAAGAGAGCCTGGGAAAGAGAGCATGGGAAAGAGAGCATGAGAAATAGAGCCTGGGAAAGAGAGCCTGGGAAAGAGAGCCTGGGAAAGAGAGCATGGGAAAGAGAGCATGGGAAAGAGAGCATGGGAAAGAGAGCCTGGGAAAGAGAGCCTGGGAAAGAGAGCATGGGAAAGAGAGCCTGGGAAAGAGAGCATGGGAAAGAGAGCCTGGGAAAGAGAGCCGGGGAAAGAGAGCCTGGGAAAGAGAGCATGGGAAAGAGAGCATGAGAAATAGAGCATGGGAAAGAGAGCCTGGGAAAGAGAGCATGGGAAAGAGAGCATGGGAAAGAGAGCCTGGGAAAGAGAGCCTGGGAAAGAGAGCATGGGAAAGAGAGCATGGGAAAGAGAGCATGGGAAAGAGAGCATGGGAAAGAGAGCATGGGAAAGAGAGCATGGGAAAGAGAGCCTGGGAAAGAGAGCCGGGGAAAGAGAGCATGGGAAAGAGAGCATGAGAAATAGAGCCTGGGAAAGAGAGCCTGGGAAAGAGAGTCTGGGAAAGAGAGCATGGGAAAGAGAGCATGGGAAAGAGAGCATGGGAAAGAGAGCATGGGAAAGAGAGCCTGGGAAAGAGAGCCTGGGAAAGAGAGCATGGGAAAGAGAGCCTGGGAAAGAGAGCATGGGAAAGAGAGCATGGGAAAGAGAGCATGGGAAAGAGAGCATGGGAAAGAGAGCCTGGGAAAGAGAGCCGGGGAAAGAGAGCATGGGAAAGAGAGCATGGGAAAGAGAGCATGGGAAAGAGAGCATGGGAAAGAGAGCCTGGGAAAGAGAGCTTGGGAAAGAGAGCCTGGGAAAGAGAGCCTGGGAAAGAGAGCATGGGAAAGAGAGCATGGGAAAGAGAGCCTGGGAAAGAGAGCTTGGGAAAGAGAGCCTGGGAAAGAGAGCCTGGGAAAGAGAGCATGGGAAAGAGAGCATGGGAAAGAGAGCCTGGGAAAGAGAGCATGGGAAAGAGAGCCTGGGAAAGAGAGCCTGGGAAAGAGAGCATGGGAAAGAGAGCCTGGGAAAGAGAGCCTGGGAAAGAGAGCCTGGGAAAGAGAGCCTGGGAAAGAGAGCATGGGAAAGAGAGCCTGGGAAAGAGAGCATGGGAAAGAGAGCATGGGAAAGAGAGCCTAGGAAAGAGAGCCTGGGAAAGAGAGCATGGGAAAGAGAGCATGGGAAAGAGAGCCTGGGAAAGAGAGCCTGGGAAAGAGAGCCTGGGAAAGAGAGCATGGGAAAGAGAGCCTGGGAAAGAGAGCCTGGGAAAGAGAGCATGGGAAAGAGAGCCTGGGAAAGAGAGCATGGGAAAGAGAGCATGGGAAAGAGAGCCTAGGAAAGAGAGCCTGGGAAAGAGAGCCTGGGAAAGAGAGCCTGGGAAAGAGAGCATGGTAAAGAGAGCCTGGGAAAGAGAGCATGGGAAAGAGAGCCTGGGAAAGAGAGCCTGGGAAAGAGAGCCTGGGAAAGAGAGCCTGGGAAAGAGAGCATGGGAAAGAGAGCATGGGAAAAAGAGCATGGGAAAGAGAGCATGGGAAAGAGAGCCTGGGAAAGAGAGCCTGGGAAAGAGAGCCTGGGAAAGAGAGCCTGGGAAAGAGAGCATGGGAAAGAGAGCCTGGGAAAGAGAGCCTGGGAAAGAGAGCATGGGAAAGAGAGCATGGGAAAGAGAGCCTGGGAAAGAGAGCATGGGAAAGAGAGCATGGGAAAGAGAGCATGGGAAAGAGAGCATGGGAAAGAGAGCATGGGAAAGAGAGCCTGGGAAAGAGAGCCGGGGAAAGAGAGCATGGGAAAGAGAGCATGGGAAAGAGAGCCTGGGAAAGAGAGTCTGGGAAAGAGAGCATGGGAAAGAGAGCATGGGAAAGAGAGCATGAGAAATAGAGCCTGGGAAAGAGAGCATGGGAAAGAGAGCCTGGGAAAGAGAGCATGGGAAAGAGAGCATGGGAAAGAGAGCCTGGGAAAGAGAGCCTGGGAAAGAGAGCATGGGAAAGAGAGCATGGGAAAGAGAGCATGGGAAAGAGAGCATGGGAAAGAGAGCATGAGAAATAGAGCCTGGGAAAGAGAGCATGGGAAAGAGAGCATGGGAAAGAGAGCATGGGAAAGAGAGCATGGGAAAGAGAGCCTGGGAAAGAGAGTCTGGGAAAGAGAGCATGGGAAAGAGAGCATGGGAAAGAGAGCATGGGAAAGAGAGCATGGGAAAGAGAGCCTGGGAAAGAGAGCATGGGAAAGAGAGCATGGGAAAGAGAGCATGGGAAAGAGAGCATGGGAAAGAGAGCCTGGGAAAGAGAGCATGGGAAAGAGAGCCTGGGAAAGAGAGCATGGGAAAGAGAGCCTGGGAAAGAGAGTCTGGGAAAGAGAGCATGGGAAAGAGAGCATGGGAAAGAGAGCCTGGGAAAGAGAGCATGGGAAAGAGAGTCTGGGAAAGAGAGCCTGGGAAAGAGAGTCTGGGAAAGAGAGCCTGGGAAAGAGAGCCTGGGAAAGAGAGCATGGGAAAGAGAGCATGGGAAAGAGAGCCTGGGAAAGAGAGCCTGGGAAAGAGAGCATGGGAAAGAGAGCATGGGAAAGAGAGCCTGGGAAAGAGAGCCTGGGAAAGAGAGTCTGGGAAAGAGAGCCTGGGAAAGAGAGCCTGGGAAAGAGAGCATGGGAAAGAGAGCATGGGAAAGAGAGCATGGGAAAGAGAGCCTGGGAAAGAGAGCATGGGAAAGAGAGCATGGGAAAGAGAGTCTGGGAAAGAGAGCCTGGGAAAGAGAGTCTGGGAAAGAGAGCCTGGGAAAGAGAGCCTGGGAAAGAGAGCCTGGGAAAGAGAGCATGGGAAAGAGAGCCTGGGAAAGAGAGCATGGGAAAGAGAGCCTGGGAAAGAGAGCCTAGGAAAGAGAGCCTGGGAAAGAGAGCATGGGAAAGAGAGCCTGGGAAAGAGAGCCTGGGAAAGAGAGCCTGGGAAAGAGAGCATGGGAAAGAGAGCATGGGAAAGAGAGCCTGGGAAAGAGAGCCTGGGAAAGAGAGCCTGGGAAATAGAGCATGGGAAAGAGCCTGGGAAAGAGAGCCTGGGAAAGAGAGCCTGGGAAAGAGAGCCTGGGAAAGAGAGCCTGGGAAAGAGAGCATGGGAAAGAGAGCCTGGGAAAGAGAGCCTGGGAAAGAGAGCCTGGGAAAGAGAGCCTGGGAAAGAGAGCCTGGGAAAGAGAGCATGGGAAAGAGAGCCTGGGAAAGAGAGCCTGGGAAAGAGAGCATGGGAAAGAGAGCCTGGGAAAGAGAGCATGGGAAAGAGAGCCTGGGAAAGAGAGCCTCGGAAAGAGAGCCTGGGAAAGAGAGCCTGGGAAAGAGAGCCTGGGAAAGAGAGCATGGGAAAGAGAGCCTGGGAAAGAGAGTCTGGGAAAGAGAGCCTGGGAAAGAGAGCATGGGAAAGAGAGCATGGGAAAGAGAGCCTGGGAAAGAGAGCATGGGAAAGAGAGCATGGGAAAGAGAGCATGGGAAAGAGAGCATGGGAAAGAGAGCATGGGAAAGAGAGCATGGGAAAGAGAGCATGGGAAAGAGAGCATGGGAAAGAGAGCATGGGAAAGAGAGCCTGGGAAAGAGAGCCTGGGAAAGAGAGCCTGGGAAAGAGAGCATGGGAAAGAGAGCATGGGAAAGAGAGCATGGGAAAGAGAGCATGGGAAAGAGAGCCTGGGAAAGAGATTCTGGGAAAGAGAGCCTGGGAAAGAGAGCATGGGAAAGAGAGCATGGGAAAGAGAGCCTGGGAAAGAGAGCCTGGGAAAGAGAGCATGGGAAAGAGAGCATGGGAAAGAGAGCCTGGGAAAGAGAGCCTGGGAAAGAGAGCCTGGGAAAGAGAGCCTGGGAAAGAGAGCATGGGAAAGAGAGCATGGGAAAGAGAGCATGGGAAAGAGAGCATGGGAAAGAGAGCCTGGGAAAGAGAGCCTGGGAAAGAGAGCATGGGAAAGAGAGCCTGGGAAAGAGAGCCTGGGAAAGAGAGCCTGGGAAAGAGAGCATGGGAAAGAGAGCATGGGAAAGAGAGCATGGGAAAGAGAGCCTGGGAAAGAGAGCCTGGGAAAGAGAGCATGGGAAAGAGAGCATGGGAAAGAGAGCCTGGGAAAGAGAGCATGGGAAAGAGAGCATGGGAAAGAGAGCATGGGAAAGAGAGCATGGGAAAGAGAGCATGGGAAAGAGAGCATGGGAAAGAGAGCCTGGGAAAGAGAGCATGGGAAAGAGAGCCTGGGAAAGAGAGCATGGGAAAGAGAGCCTGGGAAAGAGAGCATGGGAAAGAGAGCCTGGGAAAGAGAGCCTGGGAAAGAGAGCATGGGAAAGAGAGCATGGGAAAGAGAGCCTGGGAAAGAGATTCTGGGAAAGAGAGCCTGGGAAAGAGAGCATGGGAAAGAGAGCCTGGGAAAGAGAGCATGGGAAAGAGAGCCTGGGAAAGAGAGCCTGGGAAAGAGAGCATGGGAAAGAGAGCATGGGAAAGAGAGCCTGGGAAAGAGATTCTGGGAAAGAGAGCCTGGGAAAGAGAGCATGGGAAAGAGAGCATGGGAAAGAGAGCCTGGGAAAGAGAGCCTGGGAAAGAGAGCATGGGAAAGAGAGCATGGGAAAGAGAGCCTGGGAAAGAGAGCCTGGGAAAGAGAGCCTGGGAAAGAGAGCCTGGGAAAGAGAGCATGGGAAAGAGAGCATGGGAAAGAGAGCCTGGGAAAGAGAGCCTGGGAAAGAGAGCATGGGAAAGAGAGCCTGGGAAAAAAAGCCTGGGAAAGAGAGCCTGGGAAAGAGAGCATGGGAAAGAGAGCATGGGAAAGAGAGCATGGGAAAGAGAGCCTGGGAAAGAGAGCCTGGGAAAGAGAGCCTGGGAAAGAGAGCCTGGGAAAGAGAGCATGGGAAAGAGAGCATGAGAAATAGAGCCTGGGAAAGAGAGCCTGGGAAAGAGAGCCTGGGAAAGAGAGCATGGGAAAGAGAGCATGGGAAAGAGAGCATGGGAAAGAGAGCCTGGGAAAGAGAGCCTGGGAAAGAGAGCATGGGAAAGAGAGCCTGGGAAAGAGAGCATGGGAAAGAGAGCCTGGGAAAGAGAGCCGGGGAAAGAGAGCCTGGGAAAGAGAGCATGGGAAAGAGAGCATGAGAAATAGAGCATGGGAAAGAGAGCCTGGGAAAGAGAGCATGGGAAAGAGAGCATGGGAAAGAGAGCCTGGGAAAGAGAGCCTGGGAAAGAGAGCATGGGAAAGAGAGCATGGGAAAGAGAGCATGGGAAAGAGAGCATGGGAAAGAGAGCATGGGAAAGAGAGCATGGGAAAGAGAGCCTGGGAAAGAGAGCCGGGGAAAGAGAGCATGGGAAAGAGAGCATGAGAAATAGAGCCTGGGAAAGAGAGCCTGGGAAAGAGAGTCTGGGAAAGAGAGCATGGGAAAGAGAGCATGGGAAAGAGAGCATGGGAAAGAGAGCATGGGAAAGAGAGCCTGGGAAAGAGAGCCTGGGAAAGAGAGCATGGGAAAGAGAGCCTGGGAAAGAGAGCATGGGAAAGAGAGCATGGGAAAGAGAGCATGGGAAAGAGAGCATGGGAAAGAGAGCCTGGGAAAGAGAGCCGGGGAAAGAGAGCATGGGAAAGAGAGCATGAGAAATAGAGCCTGGGAAAGAGAGCATGGGAAAGAGAGCATGGGAAAGAGAGCCTGGGAAAAAAAGCCTAGGAAAGAGAGCCTGGGAAAGAGAGCATGGGAAAGAGAGCATGGGAAAGAGAGCATGGGAAAGAGAGCATGGGAAAGAGAGCCTGGGAAAGAGAGTCTGGGAAAGAGAGCATGGGAAAGAGAGCATGGGAAAGAGAGCATGGGAAAGAGAGCCTGGGAAAGAGAGCATGGGAAAGAGAGCATGGGAAAGAGAGCATGGGAAAGAGAGCATGGGAAAGAGAGCCTGGGAAAGAGAGCCGGGGAAAGAGAGCATGGGAAAGAGAGCATGAGAAATAGAGCCTGGGAAAGAGAGCATGGGAAAGAGAGCATGGGAAAGAGAGCCTGGGAAAAAAAGCCTAGGAAAGAGAGCCTGGGAAAGAGAGCATGGGAAAGAGAGCATGGGAAAGAGAGCATGGGAAAGAGAGCCTGGGAAAGAGAGCATGGGAAAGAGAGCATGGGAAAGAGAGCCTGGGAAAGAGAGCCTGGGAAAGAGAGCCTGGGAAAGAGAGCCTGGGAAAGAGAGCATGGGAAAGAGAGCATGGGAAAGAGAGCCTGGGAAAGAGAGCATGGGAAAGAGAGCATGGGAAAGAGAGCATGGGAAAGAGAGCATGGGAAAGAGAGCCTGGGAAAGAGAGCATGGGAAAGAGAGCCTGGGAAAGAGAGCATGGGAAAGAGAGCCTGGGAAAGAGAGCATGGGAAAGAGAGCCTGGGAAAGAGAGCATGGGAAAGAGAGCCTGGGAAAGAGAGCCTGGGAAAGAGAGCATGGGAAAGAGAGCATGGGAAAGAGAGCCTGGGAAAGAGATTCTGGGAAAGAGAGCCTGGGAAAGAGAGCATGGGAAAGAGAGCCTGGGAAAGAGAGCATGGGAAAGAGAGCATGGGAAAGAGAGCATGGGAAAGAGAGCATGGGAAAGAGAGCCTGGGAAAGAGAGCATGGGAAAGAGAGCATGGGAAAGAGAGCCTGGGAAAGAGAGCATGGGAAAGAGAGCATGGGAAAGAGAGCCTGGGAAAGAGAGCCTGGGAAAGAGAGCATGGGAAAGAGAGCCTGGGAAAGAGAGCATGGGAAAGAGAGCATGGGAAAGAGAGCCTGGGAAAGAGAGCCTGGGAAAGAGAGCATGGGAAAGAGAGCATGGGAAAGAGAGCATGGGAAAGAGAGCATGGGAAAGAGAGCCTGGGAAAGAGAGTCTGGGAAAGAGAGCATGGGAAAGAGAGCATGGGAAAGAGAGCATGGGAAAGAGAGCATGGGAAAGAGAGCATGGGAAAGAGAGCATGGGAAAGAGAGCCTGGGAAAGAGAGCATGGGAAAGAGAGCATGGGAAAGAGAGCCTGGGAAAGAGAGCCTGGGAAAGAGAGCATGGGAAAGAGAGCCTGGGAAAGAGAGCATGGGAAAGAGAGCCTGGGAAAGAGAGCCTGGGAAAGAGAGCCTGGGATGGGAAGAGAGCATGGGAAAGAGAGCCTGGGAAAGAGAGCATGGGAAAGAGAGCATGGGAAAGAGAGCCTGGGAAAGAGAGCCTGGGAAAGAGAGCCTGGGAAAGAGAGCCTGGGAAAGAGAGCATGGGAAAGAGAGCATGGGAAAGAGAGCATGGGAAAGAGAGCCTGGGAAAGAGAGCATGGGAAAGAGAGCATGGGAAAGAGAGCCTGGGAAAGAGAGCCTGGGAAAGAGAGCATGGGAAAGAGAGCATGGGAAAGAGAGCCTGGGAAAGAGAGCCTGGGAAAGAGAGCCTGGGAAAGAGAGCCTGGGAAAGAGAGCATGGGAAAGAGAGCCTGGGAAAGAGAGTCTGGGAAAGAGAGCATGGGAAAGAGAGCATGGGAAAGAGAGCCTGGGAAAGAGAGCCTGGGAAAGAGAGTCTGGGAAAGAGAGCCTAGGAAAGAGAGCATGGGAAAGAGAGCCTGGGAAAGAGAGCATGGGAAAGAGAGCCTGGGAAAGAGAGCCTGGGAAAGAGAGCCTGGGAAAGAGAGCCTGGGAAAGAGAGCCTGGGAAAGAGAGCCTGGGAAAGAGAGCCTGGGAAAGAGAGTCTGGGAAAGAGAGCCTGGGAAAGAGAGCATGGGAAAGAGAGCCTAGGAAAGAGAGCCTGGGAAAGAGAGCCTGGGAAAGAGAGCATGGGAAAGAGAGCCTGGGAAAGAGAGCCTGGGAAAGAGAGCCTGGGAAAGAGAGCCTGGGAAAGAGAGCCTGGGAAAGAGAGCATGGGAAAGAGAGCCTGGGAAAGAGAGTCTGGGAAAGAGAGCATGGGAAAGAGAGCATGGGAAAGAGAGCATGGGAAAGAGAGCCTGGGAAAGAGAGCATGGGAAAGAGAGCATGGGAAAGAGAGCATGGGAAAGAGAGCATGGGAAAGAGAGCCTGGGAAAGAGAGCATGGGAAAGAGAGCATGGGAAAGAGAGCCTGGGAAAGAGAGCATGGGAAAGAGAGCCTGGGAAAGAGAGCATGGGAAAGAGAGCATGGGAAAGAGAGCCTGGGAAAGAGAGCCTGGGAAAGAGAGCATGGGAAAGAGAGCATGGGAAAGAGAGCCTGGGAAAGAGAGCCTGGGAAAGAGAGCATGGGAAAGAGAGCATGGGAAAGAGAGCATGGGAAAGAGAGCATGGGAAAGAGAGCCTGGGAAAGAGATTCTGGGAAAGAGAGCCTGGGAAAGAGAGCATGGGAAAGAGAGCATGGGAAAGAGAGCCTGGGAAAGAGAGCCTGGGAAAGAGAGCATGGGAAAGAGAGCATGGGAAAGAGAGCCTGGGAAAGAGAGCCTGGGAAAGAGAGCCTGGGAAAGAGAGCCTGGGAAAGAGAGCATGGGAAAGAGAGCATGGGAAAGAGAGCCTGGGAAAGAGAGCCTGGGAAAGAGAGCATGGGAAAGAGAGCCTGGGAAAAAAAGCCTGGGAAAGAGAGCCTGGGAAAGAGAGCATGGGAAAGAGAGCATGGGAAAGAGAGCATGGGAAAGAGAGCCTGGGAAAGAGAGCCTGGGAAAGAGAGCCTGGGAAAGAGAGCATGGGAAAGAGAGCATGGGAAAGAGAGCCTGGGAAAGAGAGCCTGGGAAAGAGAGTCTGGGAAAGAGAGCATGGGAAAGAGAGCATGGGAAAGAGAGCCTGGGAAAGAGAGCCTGGGAAAGAGAGCATGGGAAAGAGAGCATGGGAAAGAGAGCCTGGGAAAGAGAGCATGGGAAAGAGAGCCTGGGAAAGAGAGCCTGGGAAAGAGAGCATGGGAAAGAGAGCCTGGGAAAGAGAGCCTGGGAAAGAGAGCATGGGAAAGAGAGCCTGGGAAAAAAAGCCTGGGAAAGAGAGCATGGGAAAGAGAGCATGGGAAAGAGAGCATGGGAAAGAGAGCCTGGGAAAGAGAGCATGGGAAAGAGAGCATGGGAAAGAGAGCCTGGGAAAGAGAGCATGGGAAAGAGAGCATGGGAAAGAGAGCCTGGGAAAAGGGAAGAGCCTGGGAAAGAGAGCCTGGGAAAGAGAGCCTGGGAAAGAGAGCATGGGAAAGAGAGCATGGGAAAGAGAGCCTGGGAAAGAGAGCATGGGAAAGAGAGCCTGGGAAAGAGAGCCTGGGAAAGAGAGCATGGGAAAGAGAGCCTGGGAAAAAAAGCCTGGGAAAAGAGAGCATGGGAAAGAGAGCATGGGAAAGAGAGCATGGGAAAGAGAGCCTGGGAAAGAGAGCATGGGAAAGAGAGCATGGGAAAGAGAGCCTGGGAAAGAGAGCATGGGAAAGAGAGCATGGGAAAGAGAGCCTGGGAAAGAGAGCCTGGGAAAGAGAGCCTGGGAAAGAGAGCCTGGGAAAGAGAGCCTGGGAAAGAGAGCCTGGGAAAGAGAGCCTGGGAAAGAGAGCATGGGAAAGAGAGCCTGGGAAAGAGAGCCTGGGAAAGAGAGCCTGGGAAAGAGAGCCTGGGAAAGAGAGCCTGGGAAAGAGAGCATGGGAAAGAGAGCATGGGAAAGAGAGCCTGGGAAAGAGAGCCTGGGAAAGAGAGCCTGGGAAAGAGAGCATGGGAAAGAGAGCATGGGAAAGAGAGCCTGGGAAAGAGAGCCTGGGAAAGAGAGCATGGGAAAGAGAGCCTGGGAAAGAGATTCTGGGAAAGAGAGCCTGGGAAAGAGAGCATGGGAAAGAGAGCATGGGAAAGAGAGCCTGGGAAAGAGAGCCTGGGAAAGAGAGCATGGGAAAGAGAGCATGGGAAAGAGAGCCTGGGAAAGAGAGCCTGGGAAAGAGAGCCTGGGAAAGAGAGCCTGGGAAAGAGAGCATGGGAAAGAGAGCATGGGAAAGAGAGCCTGGGAAAGAGAGCCTGGGAAAGAGAGCATGGGAAAGAGAGCCTGGGAAAAAAAGCCTGGGAAAGAGAGCCTGGGAAAGAGAGCATGGGAAAGAGAGCATGGGAAAGAGAGCATGGGAAAGAGAGCCTGGGAAAGAGAGCCTGGGAAAGAGAGCCTGGGAAAGAGAGCCTGGGAAAGAGAGCATGGGAAAGAGAGCATGGGAAAGAGAGCCTGGGAAAGAGAGCCTGGGAAAGAGAGTCTGGGAAAGAGAGCATGGGAAAGAGAGCATGGGAAAGAGAGCCTGGGAAAGAGAGCCTGGGAAAGAGAGCATGGGAAAGAGAGCATGGGAAAGAGAGCCTGGGAAAGAGAGCATGGGAAAGAGAGCCTGGGAAAGAGAGCCTGGGAAAGAGAGCATGGGAAAGAGAGCCTGGGAAAGAGAGCCTGGGAAAGAGAGCATGGGAAAGAGAGCCTGGGAAAAAAAGCCTGGGAAAGAGAGCATGGGAAAGAGAGCATGGGAAAGAGAGCATGGGAAAGAGAGCCTGGGAAAGAGAGCATGGGAAAGAGAGCATGGGAAAGAGAGCCTGGGAAAGAGAGCATGGGAAAGAGAGCATGGGAAAGAGAGCCTGGGAAAGAGAGCCTGGGAAAGAGAGCCTGGGAAAGAGAGCCTGGGAAAGAGAGCCTGGGAAAGAGAGCATGGGAAAGAGAGCATGGGAAAGAGAGCCTGGGAAAGAGAGCATGGGAAAGAGAGCCTGGGAAAGAGAGCCTGGGAAAGAGAGCATGGGAAAGAGAGCCTGGGAAAAAAAGCCTGGGAAAGAGAGCATGGGAAAGAGAGCATGGGAAAGAGAGCATGGGAAAGAGAGCATGGGAAAGAGAGCATGGGAAAGAGAGCCTGGGAAAGAGAGCATGGGAAAGAGAGCATGGGAAAGAGAGCCTGGGAAAGAGAGCCTGGGAAAGAGAGCCTGGGAAAGAGAGCCTGGGAAAGAGAGCCTGGGAAAGAGAGCATGGGAAAGAGAGCCTGGGAAAGAGAGCATGGGAAAGAGAGCCTGGGAAAGAGAGCCTGGGAAAGAGAGCCTGGGAAAGAGAGCCTGGGAAAGAGAGCCTGGGAAAGAGAGCATGGGAAAGAGAGCATGGGAAAGAGAGCCTGGGAAAGAGAGCCTGGGAAAGAGAGCCTGGGAAAGAGAGCCTGGGAAAGAGAGCCTGGAGAGCTGGGAAGAGAGCATGGGAAAGAGAGCATGGGAAAGAGAGCCTGGGAAAGAGAGCCTGGGAAAGAGAGCATGGGAAAGAGAGCCTGGGAAAGAGAGCCTGGGAAAGAGAGCATGGGAAAGAGAGCCTGGGAAAAAAAGCCTGGGAAAGAGAGCCTGGGAAAGAGAGCATGGGAAAGAGAGCATGGGAAAGAGAGCATGGGAAAGAGAGCCTGGGAAAGAGAGCCTGGGAAAGAGAGCATGGGAAAGAGAGCCTGGGAAAGAGAGCATGGGAAAGAGAGCCTGGGAAAGAGAGCCTGGGAAAGAGAGCATGTGGGAAAGAATGCACGAAAGAGTGTGGAGAAGGGTACGCACCATAGTGTATGGCAGAGAATGTGTGTGTGGAAGGAAAGGTGAGGGGCTGCAGCAGAGTCGGGTGAGTGAAGTTGTGCAGGAGCAGCGCAACGGCCGAGGCAGGTGATCACCAGGTGCGAGAGGGTGAAAGGGCGAGAGGGAATTGTAAGAAGGAGATGATGGGAATCATCGTGGGCGGGCATCATGGGCGGGCATCATGCATACACAAGCCACACACCTCTGAAGTGAGCCACGTTCACGGCCTGGTAGTCAAACCGCTGCAGCAGCGTGAGCCCAAACCGCCACTCCACACGCCGCCGCGTCTCCAACCACCCCTTCCCCTCCACCCCCCCCTCTCCCCCCTCTTCCCCCACTCCTCCCCCCCCTCCCCCAGCAGCGCGCAGGTGCACGAGCGAGTTGACGGCCTCATCAGTGACGACCCGCAGGGCCTCGCTGAACTCCACCGCCTTGTGGCACCCCACCGCTCGCAGGATGGGCTTGGGCTCGCTCACAGGCGGCGGTGTGTGCTCCCTCGCTGCCTCGCACTGTGGGTGGCCCAGTGAGATCATCTGCAGGGGTGGTGATGAGGGGTGATGGGTGTGCATGGAGAAGAGCAGGCGGGGAAGGGTGTGAGCGAGGGGATACAGCACGATGGGGGCACTGTGACTGGCCCAGCACGATGGGGGCACTGTCACTGGCCCACCGGGATCATCTGCAGGGGTGGTGGTGAGGGCAGTGCGGGTGCCGTTGTGTGCGCACGGTGAATCAGAGTGAGGGAGTAAAGCATAGTTAACTTGAAGACGTCTCACAATTTGAGTTTTGAATTTTGAGACGCCTCAAATGGCGATGTGTGCGCGCGCACAGTGAATGGAGTGAGGGACGAAGCGCATGGGCAAGCATAGGCCGAGGTTTGTTCTGCTAACATGGATTCGGGATTTCACTTGCACACCACCCACCCCACCTCTCGGCCGTTCCAGCACATGGGGCTGCAGAGGCAGAGGTTCTGCGAGCAGCAGTAGCTGTTGCGGATGTGGTAGCACGAGCACCCCGTGCGCTGCTGACTCAGCGCCGCCACGTCAGCACTGGTCTCAAACGATGCGAGCAGCTCCTCAACCTGCGTGAGCAGTGGAGGTGAGCAGGGGAGTTGAAGAGGAGAATTGAAAGCAAGGCGAGAGCAGGTGAGTGGCTGCATGGATGGCGTGTGCTGCTGTGCCCTCTAGGCACCTGGTAACGGAGCTAAAGGAATGGTGGCGTCGTGATGATCACATCACACATCAGCGTTATTCTCAAACGATGCCTGCAGTGCAGAGCGTTTGAGCCTGAGAGTTGAATGAGGCATGGTGGAGATGGCGGGCATGGCGCAGAGGCAGCAGCAGCACACATGCGCGGGTGGGCGTGACAGTGACCTTCACTTGTAACCTGGCACGGTCCCTCGCCGCACAGGTCAAGGCAAGGGGGTAGACCGTGGTTCAGGGTGTGTGAGGCAGCAGTGTTGCAAGCTGGGGGCTGCTGCCCGTGAGGGGCGCATGGGACAGGGGTCATGGCATGGATGGGTGGGAGGGAGGGCAGCATGGGAGAGACGGTGGAGCGGGAAGGGGTCAAGGTGGGGGGCCTGGGAAGGGGAAGGGAGGAGACGAAAGAGGAGGGAAAGAGGAGGGTGGAGGTGGGGAAGTCGAAGGGGAGGGGGAATGGGGTCGGGGGGGAAGGGGGGGAGGATGTGGCGCAGAGATGGAAGGGCGCGATGGAGGAGAGGGGGGGAGGGGAGGGTGGGGGGGGGGGGGGGGGGGGGGAGGCAATGCAGGTCGCAACAGACCATCGCATCCGCCAATAACCATCCGCCAATCACCATCCGCCAATCACCATCTGCCAATCACCATCCGCCAATCACCAACCGCCACGTACTCGCTGCCGAAACGCGTCCTCCATCTCGGGGTGCTTCCTCGGCCGCTCGCGAATCAGCGCGCCCACCCACGCCACGCCGTACCAGCGCGCGCACCCCGCCCCGCGCGCGCTGCCCTCATGTGGCGGACTGCTGTGGGGGATGGGCGTGGGGTGGAGGAGAAGCAACGCGAGGAGCAGAGCGCGGAGGCTGCCGACGCGCGTCGGGAGATGAGAAAGAGGGGGTATTTGATCACAGTGTGGTTCGCGGCGAGCTGGCTTGAGCTGCCAGTGTCTGTGGCGGCGCCATGGCGTCATGCTGGATGGCGTCATGCTGGATGGCGTCATGCTGGATGGCCGTTTCTGTTTCTGCAAGCGCCGTTTGAACTAGCTGTGGCGCCGATCCGTGTTTCCGGCCATGGCGCAGTGCTTTCAGATGAAAAGCCCCCGAATTTCGACGTTATACCTCAGGCATGCTTCACAAACGGATCAGTGCGTTATCATGAACTTCAACTTGTACATTTATTAAAGCAAATAACTAAATGCATACAATGTGGTTGTTTCGCTTACAGTACTTTTAGAAAACCTCATCCCCCTCTAGTTGTGTCTATCATCATGTTGTATATGGTATCGCCTGATCCCTGTACATACATGAGAATTTTATGCCCCAGATTTCACCACCAGCCTTTTCTTGAATTGTTGTAAGGGCGTGTTCCTACAGCCTCTTATCAGGCTAGAAACCCAGAACCCTTCGCACATTGTATCAGGCAAGCCTGATAAGAGGTTTGCCAGAGAGGCGTAGGTGTCAAAACATATATGTTCTTGTATAGTTAGGCTATATTGGGGTTACCCTTAGGGGGTATTGAAACCTTCTCGACAGTTTGCTTGTACCCCCTTCCTTGACCTAACCATTCCTACCTAATCTTTACATGGTTTTAGAGCACGTAGTTCCTTAGGACCGTGTTTAGGGCCGTTTTTTCTTAGGGCCCACCTTTAGATTCTGCCCTGAGTGCACAATAGCGCTGCCCTGCCCCGCACGATCGCGCTGCCCCGCGCGTGCCCTGCCGCCCCGAACTCTCGCGCTGCCCTGCGCGCTGCCCTGCCCCACGTTTTCGCTGCCCCGTACCCTGCCTTACGTGCTGCCCCGAGCGCTTCCGCTGCCCCGCGCTTCCGCCACCCCGCGCGCTGCCTCGCGTGCTGCCCCGAGCGCCTTCGCTGCCCCGCGCGCTGCTCGCCCGTGCTGCCCCGCACGCTACCCAGGGCGCACTGCCCTGCTCTGCCCTGCCCTGCCAAGCTGCTGCCCGCGCTGCCCTGCGCTGTCGCCTGCAGCCGCCCGCACAGCCGCGCGCTTCTGCGCTGCCCCGTGCTGCCGCCAGCGCAACTGCCTGCTCTGCCCCGCCTTTGCTGCTGCTCACGCTGCACAGCGCAGCCGCCCAAGCTGCTGCCCGCACTGCTGCGTTGCTGCGCTGCCACCCAGCACTGCCGCCCAAGCTGCCGCCTGCTGCTGCTGCATTGCCGCCACTTCTGCAGCTACAGCCACTGCAGCCGCTGCTACTGCCCCTACAGCTGCTGCAGCCGCCATTGCTGCCGCTGCTGCAGCCGCCTTTGCCGCTACTGCCGCTACCGCTACTGCTGCAGCCGCCCTTGCCACTGCAGCCGCCATTGCTGCCGTTGCTGCAGCCGCCATTGCTGCCGCTGCTGCCAGTGCTGCATCCACCCTTGCCGGTACAGCTGCCGCTGCCGCTGCCACTACAGTTGCCGCTGCCGTTACTGCTACTGCCGCTTCCGCTGCTGCCACTGCTTCTACATCCGCTATTGCCTGAGCATTTCTGCAGCTCGTGCTGCCTGCCATGGCAACTTCCACTGTACTGACCTTTGACGCGGAGGGCCGCCCGATCGAGTATGAGTCCTGGCTAGAGGACCTCCCACCTGTACCTGCAGCGTTACTAGAGACGATGTCTTGTTGTTTGAGCACACGTTTGGGTCCCTCCCTGCCTTACAGGAGCCGACTGACCCTAGTCCTTCCGGTGATCTGACTCTGCGACACCAGTTTAAGACTGAAGCTCGTTCACAGTGGCTTTCGCGTGACGATACCGCCCAGCTATCTGTCCGTAGTCACCTCCCGCTAGACCAGAGGCCCCACTTCCGCCAGCTGAAGACGGCCAAAGCACTCTATGACGATGTATTTAAGCGTTACTTCTCACCGTCTTTTGCCACTATAGGCCGTCGTGCGCTGCCGTTCCTCTTCCCTGAGCTGTCATACTTCACCACTGTAGCCGACCTCGTGACTCACCTGCGCTCCCTTGAAACGCGCTACCGTGCTGCTCTCAAGCTAGCCTTTCTGGCCGAGAACCAACCCCCCATGTATCTTACTCTCTACTTCCTCACGACTCGCCTCCCCGACTCTCTTAGCTATGTTCGCGACCACTTCCTCTCCCTAGACCCTACCGAGCTCACCCTTGCCTCTTTTGAGACTCGTCTCCTCGTTTGAGACTCGTCTCCTCGAGGCTGAGATTAGTGCCGTCGCTGTAGCTACCTCTCGTGGCACTCCACGATTCTCCTTCTTTGAGGGGTGTTCTCCTTCCCTCCTAGCGCCTTCTGTTGCCTCTGCTGCTGTTGTTGACTTCCTCGGTGCTGAGGAGGCCGGTGCGGCGTCCACTCCTAGCGGGAGGCGCAGCGCTAGACCAGGTAGTGCAGAGGCTACTAGTGTATGTGCTTGTGAGACTGCTAGCACACGTGCAGCTCTTGCGGAGGCGTTGCACACTTTCACACTGGACTCTGGCGCGTCTAGGTGCTTCTTCCGCAACTGCACCACACTCACACCGCTCACGACACCTCTCCCTGTCACTCTGGCCGACCCCTCTGGTGGCCCAGTCGTTGCACGCAGTTCCGCTGTTCTCCCGTGTCCGGCAGCCCCCTCTGACTCCCTCACGCGTTTCCGCCTCCCCTCGTTCGCTATGAACTTGGTGAGTCAGGCTGTCCTCCAGGATCAGTTGGTCACTATCACTACTCCTGGGGGCGAGCTCGTGGCGATCTGTACAGACTCGGTGACTGGCGACCACCTCACCACGTTCACCCGGAGGCCTGGGTCTGGCCTGTACACACTGCACACTGAGTCTGCACAGGTGGCTGCGTCCCGTCAGGTAGATGCGTCGTGCTCGTGTCGGTTACTCACGCACCCGTCCCTCCTCTGGCACCACCGTTTGGTCACCCCTCCCTGCTGCGCCTCCGTAGCATGCACTCGCGTCTCATTGTCTCTGACTTCCCCAGGTCCCTGCCCCACCCCCCCGGTCGCTTGCGCCGCCGTGCACTCCCTGCGTCGAGGGGCGGCAGCGCGCCGCTCCTCACTCCTCCTCGTTTCCTCCGACCACTGCTCCTCTGCAGATGCTGCACATGGACGTGTGGGCCCCGCCCCTGTCTCTAGGCCAGGCCGGGAGCGCTACTTTCTGCTGGTCATTGACGACTTCACGCGCTACACCACGGTTTTTCCATTGCAATGCAAGGCGGATGTGTGTCGTCTCTTAATCCCTTAGATCAGCGCTGTTCGTCTCCAGCAGAGCGCACAGTTCTGGCAAAACCTTCCGGTGTTGCGGCTGCACTCTGACCGAGGTGGTGAGTTCTCCTCCCGCCTCCTCGAGGACTTTTGTCGCGAGGAGGGCATTACCTAGTCGTTCACACTTCCGGCCTCTCCATAGCAGAATGGGATTGCTGAGCGCCGCATTGGCTTGATCACGGAGGCTGCTCGCACCTCCATGATCCATGCGGCTGCTCCCCACTTTCTGTGGCCGTTTGAGGTCCGTTTCGCCGCGCATCAGCTCAACCTCTGGCCCGGTGTCTCCCAGCCAGAGACCTCGCCTACCCTGCTTTGGACGGGGGAGGTTGGCGCTGTGTCGGCGTTACGGGTCTGGGGTTTGCTTGCCCTTGTCCGCGATCCTCCCCCGGGCAAGCTCTCTCCCTGCACCGCTCGCTGGGTCTTCCTTGGTATTCCCACCGACGCCCCACCCTGGCAGTCTTACCACCCAGCCACGCACCGCTTCCTGTCCTCCCGCGGCATCACCTTTGACGAGTCGGTTTGCTACTACCGTTGCTTCCCCCACCGTAGTTCCCGGGTGCCCCCCCCGCCCCTCTTCCTCGTTCCAGGTTACCCCCCGCTAGACCCCGCCCCCCCCTCGCTGCGTCCTGCTCCCTCAGGTATGTCTCAGGTCTGTGGAGGTCTCCTCAGACCACGCTGGCCCGGCTGAGGGGGGTGATCCTGCTGCTGACGACACCGCGGCCTCTCGCCGGTCACCGCGCTTGGAGACCCCATCCTGGTTTTCCGCCTCGGCCGCCTTCGCCACCTCTGCAGCCTGACCCTGTGGACTCCGGTGCTACTAGGGGTGGTGACTCTAGAGGTGCAGGCTTTGGGGGTGCTGACTCAGGGGGTGCTGGTTCGGGGGGTGCTGAGAGTCCTAGTGGTGGTGGGGTTGAGGGTGCTCCTGCTGGAGGTTCTGCGGGGTGCACTGTCAAGCTTTATTTGTTATAGCTTCTATTGTTAGTCTAGGTGTACTTTCTGCTTGTTAGGGTTAGGGTAAAGTTTCATATATACTTGTTGTATTTTCCCCTTCTAGTCATTCATTCTCATATCTCAACATGGTATAGAGCTAGGTTTCCCTAGCTAGGGTTTCCCCTAGCGTTTTCACTCTCGATAGATTAAGGGCCCACCAAAATCGCTAGCGCGCGCCCCGTACGAACACGCGCCCCGTCCTAACGCGCACCTCGTAGCTAGTCGTCCGTCGCCCGTAGCGCGCCCGTCGTCAGTACCCACCCCGTCGCCCGTAGCATTCCCGTCGCCCGTCAAAATTTCCCCTCCCGTCGCCCGTCTATTTCCCGCACGCGCCCCGCACGTCGCCCGTCGAACGACCGTAGGAAGCGGGCCCCGCGGCCCTTTTTCGTTAGCAGGCCCCGCGGCCTGTCGGTAGCGAGCCACGCGGCCCGTAATCGACGGCCCCGTGGCCCGCGCTAGCTGGCCCCGTGGCCCCCACGCGTTCCCCTTCGTTTCCGCCTGTACCCCGCCGCTTTCCCGCCCGTACCCTGTCTGCCGCGGCTCACTACCGCCCTATCCCGCCTCTCTCTAGCTTAGTCCGCGGCAGTAAACCCTAACAGCCGCCTCAGCCGCTCCAAAACCACTTAACCGCATTCAACCGCACCAGATCCGCCTCTCACCCGCACTAGACTACTTCCAGCCGCGAGAAACCGCCTTTCACCGCACTAGACCACTCTCAACCGCGAAAACCGCTCCCACCAAACTCAACCCGTCCCAACCGCCCTTCACCGCACTC